ACCTAATGGCAGGTTATGCTTTAAAACAAGGCCTGTGTGCAGAAAAGAGCCTGAATAAGCAAACAGATAGATAACTGGCAGCAAGCAGCACTGGTGATTAAGGGCCTGGATGGAGCAAAATAACTGCAGTCACAGGACTCACCAGGAGCAGGATTGGGGTAATAACGAAACAATGGCATTGTAACAGCATAATATCTCCACCATGTACAAGGTAGCATTAATACCAATGAGGAAAAAATGAAGTTTTACTTCAACAGGGAAGACCAATACCCTTTAAATATAGAGCATAGAAAACAAGAAGGCATAGTGCCTTTTTCACAGAATTCACCTAAAGGAAAGAGTTAATGCATAATCAAAATATTAAGCAAGGGTTATCAAACAACCCTTACTGTTATTCTTGGAAAGTACAAGCTTTAACTTTTGTCTGAGCATCAGTAAACCATGGAAGGGGATTTTTAATCAAGGTAGAGCTCTGGAGACATGGAACACTTCAATGAGCTTTCTGATTCATTTTATCTATTTTCTTGTGCTTCTCAGTCACCTTCATTCACTCGATCCCGAAAAATGAAGTGCAGGGAACACTCAACCATACCCTCAACCTTGTGGAGCCAAAGGACTCGGGGTTCTACAGCGTAAACTTCATTGCAGGCCTCCTTTCTACCTCTGCAATCACCAGGCTGATAGTAAGAAGTTAGTGCTACTGAACTTTTCTCTTTGAGTCATGTACAGCACACGTCCTTTTTAATCCATAGTTTATATCATTTGCATTCTTTAGTTACTTTGCAGGTTGCTCGGTGCATCTCTAATTTCAGTTTTCATATGTCAGTGTCTTTTGTGGCCACTGCTTCCCTTGATGAGCCATTTTCCAGGAAAAAGCATTCTGTACAGAACAGACAACAAATTAATTCTCTAGCTGTAGAAATACTGGGTGAAGATGTTTTCAATTTAACTCTGTGCTGTATTTCTATGGCGTCCATAAGAAATCCCTGCCACTAAGCTGTTTTTGTTATATTTGCAGTACCTTCAAGACAGCAACATACTGTACTGTAATGCAATTAAACATGCATGAAGTAGGAAACAGGACTCTGAAGAGATTAAATCATTGAAAACAAAGAAATTTTAAATTGTTTCAGAAAAAAAAAGAATGTTCTCAGCAGACAGCAAATATTTTATTGTGTCTCACTATGTATAACAGTAGTATTCCAAGTACATAGAATTAAAAACTGATCTTTAACGTCTGTGTGTTTTTTTTACTGTACAATATATAGAAAAAAAGGGTTCCTATCTAGAGTTTGTCTGAATTCCATTATTGTAGGTTTCCGACTTATTCTTGCATAAGAATCACCAGTTGAAATGTGCTGCTAACAGTAATGCATTTCTCAGATGAACAATCCCAATGTAGAAACTAACGCTATGTTTTTGTGATTCGATCCAAGAATGTGAAGCTCAGAAATGGGGGCCAGACTGTCAGCATGCCTGTCCAAAATGTCAGAACAGAGGCGTGTGTCATGACACGACAGGGGAATGTATCTGTCCTCCCGGCTTCATGGGCAAGACTTGTGAAATAGGTAAAAGGCTTTTTACTTTTCAATCATGATGCATATAACTCTTTTAAATGCGCGATGCATGTATTTCGTAGATGGCTTAAACTGCTGTAAAGATTTGTGTTTGAGGCCAGGATCTTAATGGGGTTTCAGTTCATGTTAGTGGACGGAGTCAAGTTGAGAATTCTGTGCAATGTATTGATTGAGATTTAGTATTCTGACAAGAAGTAGAATTAGTATTTTGCTGTGAGCTTGGAATTAATTGTGAATAGGGTGTAGCCTTACATTGTAGTCACAGTATGTCAAGGGCAAAGTTTAGACTTTTCTTTGTCTTTGTTTGTTGATGTAGAAATAGGATGATAAGCAAACAAGATGATTGCAATTGTCTATTTATTTGGTTGCTGGTATGATACAAGGATGAGGATGGACATGAAAAATGGTTTTGGACTGAGATTTGTCTTCTAGTGACCAGGAATTTTCACTGGCTCCTTATGTAGTGGGAGAAAGAAACTGTAGAGCTGTATTAATATTTAATCTATCTGTCTACAGGTTGTGGTGTGGGTCGATTTGGAAGAACTTGCAAAGAAATGTGCAAAGATGGTAGTTGTAAGTCCCTGGTCTTCTGCCTTAGAGATCCTTATGGCTGCTCTTGTGCCACAGGATGGAGAGGACTGACCTGCAATGAGGGTGAGGAACTGGACCTGTGAAAATACAGTACATAGGTTCTCATAATATGCAGTTTCTAAAAAAACAGCTGCTACTAGCAAAAAAAAAGGTAAAGGTTTATTAAATGCTGAAAGGAAGAGAGACACAACGGTTCACAGCTAAAACGTTGTCTCTTTTTTCTTTTTTAGCATGGAATAAACCTTTACCTGTTGATTTGCAGCCTTTGCAAGCTGTCACAGGTACTTGAGCTTCTTCAACCATCAAAAAGTGTTAATGGTTAATGTTAAACAAAGCATTAACAGTAATGCTATAATGATATAACAGTGAGTTCCCTACAAAATGTGTAAGCAGAGCATAGACTTCACATGCAAATTCATTTTACTTTGCAGTCTGCTGCTGTGACAGTTCTGAATTTTCTTTCATTTAGTTCCAAATTTTGTTTGATTCAACTGGGTGGCTTATGCTCACAACAAAAGCTCATTAAAAATCAGGAATTGATTGATAATCAATTGATTGATTATAATGCTATAAAGCATTTGTCCATCTATAATTTGAAAGTGATTTATTGTATAAATATAATTTGATGCAGTTTGTCAGACAAATGTCAGCTAGATAGGTTGTACATCAACTGTATTCGTCGTAGATTCTGCTACCCTGATGCAGGCAAAGGCAAAACTTCACTGGCAGAGCCCTCAATTACTTGTTTTTGTTTGGGATGAAATCTAGCTTCATCCTATGCTTAATGATCCATGGGCCTTGATGTGAGTATGGTTCATGTTAGCAGATACTGTACACAAATGGGAAATATAAATTGGGCTGTCTTCTCAGCACACCTAGGAGAGAAGGGTTATTTTCAGGCTGGAAAAATCAAGTTTGTACTGGTGCCTGTGGTGGGAGGTGTTTGCAGAGTTGGGAATTCTTTGTTTTATTGATGCGTCTTTGTGTCTTTCATTGCTGCAGCCTGTCCTGAAGGCTATTATGGTGCTGATTGCCAAATGAAATGTGAGTGTGGTAGCCAAGGGAGCTGTGACCGTTTCCGGGGCTGTGTCTGCAAGGATAGACATGGGACTCACTGCGAGAGAGAAGGTAAGAGCACATAATTCTGTACTATGAGGTTCTGTAGAGCAGGAACACTGCATTATAAGCTACTACAGAGACACAGGCCTATCTATCATATCTGCTCCTACAGCCAAGCTATGTATTATGTATCTTAATAGAACTACCCTGGTAGATATCAGTAAATATTCAGAGGCAGCAGTACAGTACATACAGTACAATACAAAGTCCATAGAAACAACCCATGGAAATGCTGGTTGTCCCTTCAACTAATCACATTAACCAAGAATGGTTTTCATTTGATTAGAAAACTATTCATCTGAATGGCATTGCTTTTCATCTTTATTTATAAGGTTTCATACAGCTCCTTCTATATTCGAGCTTTCATACAGTCGTTTACTTTTACTTATTGCTTTCGTCTCTTTTTGGTCATGATTACTAACTGTTCCCATTTCTGTTAGACCTTCCCATAGGTGATTATCTTCAGCCCTCTTTATCTTTACACATCCAGCCCTCCATGTGGGGTACTTGCTGTAAATGCAAACACAAGATGTCAACAAGAACCTACAAAGATATACAGAATGGACAAAAATAATCTGACATTAAATTGCATAGAAAAAGCCAATGTTAAGATCAGTGTTATATTTTTGTGTGCAGATGCTGGGAAGATAATGAAAATAATGTTTGATTTATTCAGTGAAAAGTCTTTTTACTCCTTATGTTCCTGTTTTTCATAGGAGAGCAATATGTACAGTAGCTCTAAATTAGCCTTCTTCCTTCCACAGAATTACAAATCTGAAAATTCGGTGGGAGGGATTTTTACTGTGGGTCATTTCTATTACATGATCTCTAGACGCAGTTCCAGAGGTGATCAGCAGTCTGAGCGACACAGAGCTGAATGCTGGGATATCCTATTGGGGTACTTCCTGTGCTGCAACTGGTTACCCTCCTCCATTGCATGGGGACATTGTACTGCAGAAACCTTGCAAAACAATAGTGAAGGTAGGTTTCCTGTCATCATAGTGACCAAGAATTAACTTAAGCCAACAGATAAGGAAATAAAATCTTCTGCATTGCAGTTCTGGCCTTTGTTTTAAAAGTACATAAAGGGTTGGTCCCATACAGGTGGTTGTAATAGTAGTAAACATACAATTTTATATACGAGTGTTTTGAAAGAAACCCACAGTAGAAACCACAACCGAAGCATAAGATAACTGGAAAAAAGCTCATAATACCGACATAGTTAAACCAACTCATCACATTACTCATTACAACCATGACTCATTTCAACCTTTCATGAAAAAAACTGTCTTTAAGCAAGCATTGAAATAATCGTTAGTCTTTAATGGCTTGGGGCAATATGTTCAGAGATGGGGGTGCACACTGGAATTGTGTGGAGGCTATTGCAGTATTTGGCAGTGCAAGATGCTCAAAGATTAAAAACTGGACTTTACTTGTATAATAAATCCTTAATATAATATGGACCTATATCATTCAGTACAAGATACATGAAAAGGAGCAACTTTCAAGTTCGTTTTGAGTTTTACTGGCCATCAGAGCAGTTTACAGAGAACAGGAGTTATGTACTTCTAGAAAGTACACACCTTAAGAAGGCTCCACGGCCGAAACGTTGTGTTTTCTTTCTTCTTTTTTTCAGCATGGAATAAACCTATTACTTGTTCCTAATTAGGAGAATATACAAGTACTGTATATTAAAGTAAAAAATAGGAAGTAAATTATTTGCATAGGCTGGGCAAAGTAGAGATTGATAAGTAATCCACAGCAGTGAAAACTGCAGTTTAACAAAGGGTTTCAAGGAATATGGGGTTCAGAACTAACACAAACAGGTTGTTTAAATGTTATGAAAGTATTTTTTAGGTATTTTAGATACCAGTTAGAACCAGTTAGATAGTTGAATACCTTAGCAGTAATGAGATGCTAGCAGCACATAATTATTTTAGATGTTCTTTATTGACTATTATTTGTGTTCCATACGTTGCTCTGAGGATATTTGACATGATGGTGTGCACTAGATTTGGCTGTTGCTCAATCCTTGTTATTAAATTAAGTTTCTTTTGAGGTTACACGTCATTGACATGCCAAGAAACAGTTAATAACAAATTATATGCATAGTGGTCCAAATGTATAATAGTATAATTGGTTCTAGCAGTTATTTATTGAGTTCTTAATGCAACATACATACAGTATGTAATGTAATATACATACTGTAGTATATATGTTTATTTATAGCAGTGCAGGGCTTGTGTCTGACTTGAGTTCTGATGAATATGACTTTAACAAACTATAATCCAAAACATGAATGCTCTATGTTAACAGAGGGAACTTCTACAAAACTGCTAGCAAACAGGTGGACAAAGTAACACAGTTCATCCTTTTATTTCAAGTCCAGACTCTCACCAATGGGCACCCCTATTTATCCTTACTATACTGTATGTACTGTGTATTGATTGGCAGGAATCAGAAGTCATGTCAGCCACAATGGACACTGTTCAATGTGAACTAAGATAATACAAGTCTTTGTTTGATATTTCTTTTTGTTTCCAGCCCAAAGATACTGAAACCTTGAGCAACCAGTCCACTGCTCACTTCTGGGTGGAAAAAATAACATTGCGTGATTCTGGAAAGTGGATGTGTCAAGTTAAAACAGCAGCTGGACAGAAAGTAAAATATTTTAAGGTCAATGTCAAAGGTAAGGGAATGTAAAAAGGACCTCAAGCCTTCATTTTGGATTAAAAGAGACGGATCCTGTATAACCCAAAAGCCTCCTAACCCTCCAAGTACTGTACATAATCAGTGGAAAAAGATCATTTCCCCAATACCGGCACAATTGTTTTCGGTCTCTCACTGTGGTCCGTCTTAAGGTTTTCAGTGTTAGTTCAATAATTAAATGAATCTGAATGAGAAAGCCTTTTCAAATTCACTTAGGATCTATAAGCTATTTTGTGAGCATGTCCTTATCTTTTTAATGTAAGCATTTAATCTAAAAGAGTGCTACACACTGAAGTGTAAGATAACTGGGCCGGCTTACATTTCTGAGTATAATTCAAAGTCACCTAAGAAATTTAAACAGAAGGGAATACCTGGTCAAATGATTTTCATTAAAGATGCTCACCAATCCTGTGTGGAAGTATATTAGTTTACTGTGTAAGGTTGTTCATGTTTGTTAATGTTATGCACATTTTTTTAACATTTCACCTTCTTTCATAGACTCACCAACACCCCAGTTCCCTCCCTTTTTAAACAACAGTGGACCATATCACCTGGTGCTTTCAGTTAACAAGGACCAGTATATTGGTGACGGACCTATAACATCTGTGAAGCTCCTGTACAAGCAGGCTAATACATCATCATCATGGGAGTCTGTCGAAGGTACATTTAAGGGTGACTGTGCACTAGCCCAGCTGTGTAAAAGGGAAACATTACTTGATTAATCTTTTATTTTGCCTCAGTTTTTCATTGACTTGCTCCTCAGACATAATCAGAAAATTCTAAAATAAGTGTTAGCTACTGTTTGGTTATCATTTTTTCTATTTCATGATTTCGTAAAATCATATTTGTTATATTTGTAGCACTCTCTTATGGTAAAAAATAACAAACATAAAATTTCACATAAATTAGACAGTCAGCAGACATGCCACCCTAAGACCCTAAGTTTGAAAAGTTTGATAAATCTGATGAGAGCATCCTAATAGTTGTTTCCTAGTTAGAGTAGTTAAAATAGAAATTATGCTGAGATATCCTTTCTGCTGGAACTGTTGATGATCCAGAGGTGCCCAAGGGAAACAGGAAGTGACATTTCTTTTCTTTCAAAGACCAATATAATGCCATTAGACCGAGCCATTATTAAAAACACTACACAACTACAAGTGATCAGGTAAAAGATAAAAGGTTTTCACTGGCCCGTGTTATAAACACAGGTTATCTTCCTCGGCATCTTGCTTTACTCACACTGCCCATTGTAGCAAACGCATGACGAAAGACTGAGGGGTGAGGTCTAGTCGCTGTGTGGGAACAAGTAACGGTTTATTCCAAGCTGAAAAGAGAAGAAAGGAAACAACGTTTTGGCTGTGGAGCCTTCTTTGGGTGCCTTCTTCCTAAAGAAGGCTCCACAGCCAAAATGTTGTTTTCTGCATGGAATAAACCTTTACTTGTACCTTTGCAACCTACGTATGCTGACGCAGCTACCTACTAGTCGCTGTGTGTCCAGCCCTCTGGTGATTTACTGTGTAAGACATACAGTACATAGCTGGACTGTCCCAGATGTTCATGCCACACATTCAGCTGCATTTCAGCTTTAGCTGTAAGTCCTTTAACTAGCTGAGTGTGTCAGACTAGGACTAGTTAAGAACAGTGCATGATAAAGCTTTTCTCTCTTGTTTTCCTTGAGTGTTCTCACAAGAAACAGATGCTTATAGTCCATCATTACCATTTTTCGCAGTGACTGGGCCGCTGGTGAACCTGGACAACCTGACCCCAGTGACGAAGTACAACATGTGTGTTCGGTTGAGTCGTCCTGGGGAGGGAGGAATGGGCTTCCCGGGCCCCATGGCCACCTACTCCACTCTCCAGCTGGGTAACGCACTGACCATACCATCTCCACAAGCTTAAAAACTGCACAATTTCTCTGCGGGAGGGAAAAAAAAGGAACTGACAATCAAATGCAACTTAATGCCAAAATGTTATTAGTGAAAGAGGAAATACTGATGAAGATATCAGATGTGTACATTAATAATGTCAACAAGCTTTATCCTTCAGGGGAAAAACATCAGGATCATTTTCGCATTGTGAAATTAAAGATTCAAGAGCCCGGGTCTATCGAACGAGCACCACCCGTGTGTAAAAGAGACTTGAGAAGTAGCTTTAAAAAAAATAATATGATAATATGGTGGCTGGAAAATGTAAGCGAATGCTAAAGAGTCAAAAAGCTTCATAATGTATCCTCACGTTAATGTGAAAAATTGCCAGAATTATGTTTTCCAGAGTAACAAATGTCTTGCCTTTGTTCGAAATATTAGTAAATGGTCTTTAAACACTGCTGTGTGTATAGAAAAGGGGAAAACTTGTTTTAACCTTTTCACTAAATTTTAAGGGTGGCCAACAATGAAAAAAAAAATCTATCAAAACTTCAATGTAATTAATTACAAACTAAATTGAGGAATGAGAGCGTCTTGATATTTTTACCGGTCCTTCATTTTACTAGCTCTCCTGATTGAGATTTCTGTTCCGTGTGACCAGAGCTCCTTCCACCATCAGGAGTTAAACTGGTGCCGGTCAGTCAGACATCTCTGACCCTCTCCTGGGACGCCACCACCTGGTTGCCGAAAGAGGAGCATGTCTACCAGGTGGAATGCATCCCCAAATCCGAGCCTGAGCGTGTCCTGCTGATGAATGTGCCAGGGAACTCTTCCAGCCTTGAGATGAAGAAACTGGAGCCCAAGCAGCATTACCAGTGTAAAGTGCGTCTTAAGTGCAGCTCAGTGGGTCAGTGGAGCCACACAGTGTCGGCATGGACTCTGAGCAATGGTAAGTCTTTGCTGTCTCTAGATGTGTGGAGGGGGGCGGAGAACATGCACTCTTCAACCTTGTTGCCTCTGTGGTATGATGCACTGTAATTCTTTTGGACTTAATAATTAAATGGAGATCACAGAAAACTCTTAGATGTTCTGTTCCCTGGTCCTTTTGCAAATATTCCTTCTTCTTAATGTTTCTGTGTTAGATTTTTCTTTTATATGAAAATATACTGTACTTCTGAGTTTGTTTTACTCCAACACATCTTTTATATTCTTGTAATAAGAATACCACCCTGACTTTAAGTCACATGTTAATTAAACCCCCTTTTGATGAGCCTTACATTAATCAGTGATGGCCCCACCTGGTGGTACAATGGCGGGAGATATAAATGTATCATGTACAGTGTATGAGGAGCAATCTTGACTGGTGACTTTTCAGTATTGGACAGTTCAGGCTTCCTTCCTAGTTGTAAACATAATACAAGGGCCGTTTTGTTGAGAGTTTCAAAGAGGGATCTCTAGCATACTGAAATAATGGTAGCATCTGTATAGTTGTAAATGTGAACATACTGTAGTGATCCTTTTTGTTGCCACTTTTTAATAATAATTCAAGCAACAGAGTCCTGAGTGAGAATAATTTGGGAATTTGGAGAACTGAACTCAGGGAATGGAGGGGATAAAAATAGCAAGATGATAAAATAGTAAAAACACAGTAAATGCTATGTATTTATATTTTCAAGTATTTTCCCCAACACTTGGGAGAAAATATGAATGTATGGATCTGGAGAGCAGTTTTTCATCCTAAAGCTAAGAGCGACTTGTTTGCTTATTCTCTGACAGTAATCCCACCGGCTCCCTCTGACATCACTACATGCAACATCACTGACTCCTCTGCTGTCATATCATGGACACTAAAGGAAGGGAACTCCATCTCCACAGTCATCATCCGCTACAAGGACAGCAGTTCAGAGGACTACTGCCAGCAGACTGAGATCAACATGCAAGAACATACGGCCACACATTTCCAGCTCAGGGGCCTGAAGTCAGATACATCTTATTTGGTTGAAATCTGGGCAAGGAATAACATTGGAGAAAGCACGAACAACCCTAGACTCAACATCAGAACTGCAAAACAGCCCGAAAGCTCCAGTAAGCCACTCATTTTGTCTCATTAAATATGTCTCATGTTAGGGTTGATGTGGAATCACCAAACCTGGTTTAAAATACAGTAAAGAAATATAGCAGATTTGTCATGATTCATTCTTGTCTTCGCTGAAAGAAAACATTCTACCAAAGCAGATATACAAAATATCTTCATGACTGACTTACAGTAAATGGTACAGTAAAATCCATACAACCTTTTTACTGCAGCATTAAGGGGATTGAGAGCATGTGACTTTCTCTGCATGGAATGAAAGTCTAACGCAAGGAATTATCCCAAATAATACTGATCCTCACTTGGAGCAGGATGAACTGTAGCAACTGGAGTAAAATGCTTTGTTCAGCAGGGTCTGCAGTGGGAATGTGACCCCACAACCTTTCATGAGTCCAGAGACTGACCCACAAATCTATGCCATCCAGCAAATCATAATAAAACACATTTTCCATCGGGGATTTGATATGAAGAAATGAAGGAGATCAAATCTGTCAGTAGACAAGCGGGACCGGCAAATAAAAACTGAGATATTTAAAGCAGCTTCAAAACTTCTTTTGGATCACTGCACATATTGAAATCATTTTGATATTGTATATCCTATAATAGCTAAATCTGTTGAGGTTATAACACAAAATGAAAAAAAAAACACTTTTTGAAAATGTGAAATTATATTTTTCCACAGAGTTCTTTGGCTTTGGGAATGAGGGCAACATGCTGCTCATTGCCATCCTGGGATCTGCAGGGATGACCTGCTTAACCATCCTGCTGTCTTTCCTCCTGGTGCTGCAGCTCAGGAGAGCGACCTTCCAGCGCAGAATGGTCCAGGCCTTCCAGAATGTCGTGGTATGTCAAAATCCTTTGTTCTGAGCTTTCTACTCCTGTAAGAGAGCAGGGAAACCGAATCCCCACCTGTAACCTATGTTTCAACCAGGAAAATAATTTACAGTGGAGGCCTGGTCAGGAGGCTCACACCACATCAGCACAGAAAACTAACGAGAGTGAGAAAACAAGAATTTGATTTAAAGTTGAAATAGCTTCTCAGGACATGATAGCATTAACAACTGTGTAAGTATTGAACAGAAGCAATTTAGTGATGCGACTAAAAACAACACCTTCAGACACATTACAGGCACCTATTCAAATTATACTGTAAGTTGATTGATATTCGACTCAGGTCTGGTTAGATAAGTACTTCATTCTAAAGTGTATCATGACACAGAGAACAGCAATGAAATATTCACATAGGAAGATGCTTTCCCAGTTAAAGATTTTGATATAGTTATAGGAGAAAACAGATAGTGACGTAAAAAGGGGAAGTAGGCTGACTGTTGGCTGAACATTAAGTGTTTTCTTCCTTTTCTACCAGTAACATGCTTTATGTGCCTATGCAGAGAGAAGAGCCTGCGGTCCAGTTCAGCTCTGGGTCTCTCAACATGCCTAAGAAGCCCAAGAGCAGGTCAGAGCCTGTGGTCTACCCCACCCTAGAGTGGAACGACATCAAGTTCCAGGATGTTATAGGGGAGGGGAATTTCGGCCAGGTCTTGAAGGCGCGTATCAAAAAAGATGGATTAAGAATGGATGCCGCCATCAAACGAATGAAAGGTAACGGACTTGGATTAAAATGTTTCAGAAAAAAATCTTTAAGACTTTAGTAATATTGATGACTATTCATCACTACATACAGTACACACCACAGAGACTAAGTGTCAGCAACATTTTTCTTTACTCAGATTGTGCACATTAGGAAAAACAAGAAACACTATCCATTAATGGCCTCTTTTTCAATTTTTGCTGAGCCTCTGAATACAGTTAAAGAAATATGCATGAGACACAATACCAATCAAGACTTGCAAATTGCATGATGGGTTGGTTTTGACATATGTGAAGTATGGGCTATATTGAGAAAAACAATCCTATTTTGTATGTGACTTTACACAGATTTTAGATGTCCTATAATGGCATATACTGTATAAACACAAAACATTACATTCCAGGCATACCAAGTAGGGAGCTTTCCTGCCTTTAAACTGAGACTGAGGAGAAATGGCTTATACATTACCTGTAACTTTGAAGAGCAGGATCTTGCATGCAGGTAGAAAAAAGTGGATTCGAAATATCAAATAGGCAATACCAAATATGAAATTTTTACAAAATAAAAACAGGCATTGATGTATAAGAGCATCCCAATCAATTTTGGGATTTCAGATTCAAAGGGATATCCTCTACTGGCAAGCTGAAAGAATATAACCTTTTTAGTCTCAAAATAAAAAAAACAGTTATCCAAAAACCTTAAAGAAAATGACACAAAGTCTACCCAGCAGACGTCTTCAGAATCAACAGTGAAACATATGCCAGGAGCCGCAAGCAGAAACTATGGGGAAATACCTTCGGAGGTGTTGTGGGAGTATAGAACAAGCTTGCTCAGCCGTGGTGTTTAAGACGATACCCTAGCTTCTAGACGATAGTTGACCACATGAGCTAGATAGTCTGAATGGCCTTGATGACATGACAATTATTATCTACCAGTATTATTGTTTTTTTTTTACATTTATAGCATATTTTTATTTGTAACTTTCTTCTTAGAATATGCTTCTAAAGATGATCACAGAGACTTTGCTGGCGAACTGGAAGTGCTGTGCAAACTTGGACATCACCCCAATATCATCAACTTACTGGGTGCCTGCGAACACAGAGGTACTTTAGCAATATATATTTCTCTTCGGAAACGTGGTCTTCCAGGGCTTCTGTCAGAGGACTGTGACAGAAACAGTCGGGGAAAGGTGCATTTTCAAAGAAAGGAGTTTAAAAAAAGCAAAGATATAAGGCCTTTTTCTGTGGACAGGTTAAGTGCAATATCGAGTATTCTTATTTGACTTCATCTTGGCCGACACTTTGCAAAATATGTACCATAGATCACATCAGAACAAAAAAAATGTTTGTAGAGACCGGATTAACTGGGAGAAAGTTAAAAAAATATTTTGTGAATAGATCATTTTATGTTTGTTCAGATTTCGGGTGCTGGTAGTGCATAAAAAATGAACTACATCAGAGGCCTCCAACACAATAATTACGACCTAGGTTGCAAAATGATTTTGGATGCTTGATCTAAGTATCCACCTATCTTTATTTAATTAACTTAGGATTTAACACATTAATAATCATTAAGCAAACATTTTTTTGTTGATTTATTATCTACTGTACATCAAACTAATCCAATTAGGGGGGCATCCAGTTTTGAAAATGAAGGTGCTTTCCTTCTTAAAGCAACATAATAATAATGACCTTTACTGTATATAGCGCCTTTAGAAGGGGCTTCTCAAAGCGCTTTACAGTAAGAAAAAAGAGCACTCTGTGAGAAGAGACAGCAGAATTACACAGTTACAGTAAGGGTTTGGAATACAGTTAAATAAAAGCTTTTAAGAAGAAGAGGGATTTTGAGTCTGGATTCGAAAGTGCTCAGGGTTGGTGGGATTGATTTCCAGCGCTTTAAGGCGTAGCAAGAGAATGCTCTGTCGCTGCTAGTATGGGGACGGGCTTCGCTGAATAAATAAAGTGCACGTTGCTCTTGCTTTAAGGATACCTGTACCTGGCTATTGAATATGCCCCCCATGGTAACCTCCTGGACTTCCTGAGAAAGAGCAGAGTCCTGGAGACAGATCCGGCCTTTGCCATTGCAAACAGCACCGCCTCCACCCTGTCCTCTCAGCAGCTCCTGCACTTTGCAGCGGATGTGGCCAGGGGCATGGACTATCTCAGCCAGAAGCAGGTCTGCCCGCATGTTACTGTGCCCGCCTGTGGGGATGAACCATGCATGCCGTCGATACCCTTTTAACACTACTAGCTTTGTGGGCCATTTTGAATGGCCAGGCTCATCTCTGAACCTTCCCTTGAAGAAGGTCATCTGCTGACGGATTTGCAAGGATGATTACGTTACATTCAGGTGTACAGATGATAACAGATTTGGCTTATTAAACAGGAGCTTGGTTTTTGGTTGCATGTTTAGTGGCTTGGGTAAGCCACTGTGGGGAATGGGCTGTTTCTCAGTCAATGGCGGAGATTGGTTAGAACTTATTAATTCCACAAGAAGTACAAACACCAGCAAAAGTTAGCACTTGAAATTGTGCTTAGAAATGTGCTTGTCATCCAAAGTGTTGTGTAAAGTCTTAAGGCGTTATTCATTTGTCCCGAAACAGCAGGTGGCACAGAAGATAAAAAGCTATTTTGTGGCCACTTGATGTTTCTTTTTCTCCTCTGGACACAAAGCTAAGATTCAGTAGGTTTACTAATGGAGAGGCTGTTTTCACCTGTTACTACAGACAAGCGATTCATCTTGTTCTGATGTGTTGGACATCATAGATCATGAAACCAGAATGAAGCAGTCCCCTGAATCAAAAGGTTATGGATTTGGAATGTTCTTTTGGACCTGTGTTCTTTTTGCATCACATGCCTTTAATGTCATTTACCCATTTTATTTCAGTTTATCCACAGAGACTTAGCTGCAAGGAACATCCTGGTGGGAGAGAACTTTGTGGCAAAGATAGCAGACTTTGGTCTGTCTAGAGGCCAGGAGGTTTATGTGAAAAAGACAATGGTGAGGAAGTCCTTTCTGTTCATTTGGTAGCAATAACATTTGGAAACACTTAGAAAACTGAATTATGCTAAATCTGTGTAAGAATATCACATGTGCATATATCACAAGCCAGAGCTGATAGCTGCTAATTATGGGAAGTCACTATAAACCATAGCTTAAGTAAATGTTAAATAAATGTAGCAGTCTTAAGAAGAAACACATTTGATCTGAAACTTTCAAAATTAGTCAAAAGTGTTAAACTAGGAATTGTAAAACATCATGTATTATTTTTCTGCAGTATGTTTCTGTCTGTTAACTCAAAAGTACATTATTTCTTGTTTAATAATGTTAATGTTGTGGTCTTTTTAAGTAATATTAGAATCACTGTTAACTTAATTCAGTTTCAGTATTGCGACTCTGCTTTCACAGGGGAGACTGCCAGTTAGATGGATGGCTATTGAATCACTGAATTACAGCGTTTACACCTCTAACAGTGATGTGTGAGTACCTGCACATCAGACAATTTGATATAATTTACAGAAGCAAAGAGTCAACAAAGAAGTTCTGAGAACTAAAACAAGTTAATGAAGTTTTGTTGAAGTATACTTAAAGTATAAGTGTATTGTGTTTACTTATGTACTGAAAAAAATATTCATATACTGTACTATACTATAATAGTATAAAAAAGCAAATAGTATTTGCAGGTAAAAAAAAAAACAAAAAATAATATTCTTCACAAGTGAAAATAAAACAGTCCAGTAGTCCAGGCTGCGATACACTATGTAGTGCAGCTTTTCCAAATCTCTGTTATTACACTGCATCCCAAAGGGAACCAAAATAAGACAATCCATTAATATCTGTAGTATTAGCAGATGTCAGCATGATGAAGATATTCCTGATAGTCTCCAGATATATTCATACCATTGATAAACTGCAATAAAAAGATTATTTAGAAAAGATAAATTTTGTACGTCATGATTTTCAACTTTTATGAACTAAAGTATGATAGAATTGTATAAATAAGTACAGAAAATATAATAATGTATTTTTACAAAGCACTTTTTGAAGCATGTTATGTTGAAATTGTACAATGCACTAGTAAGACCTTATTTATGATATTGTGTATAATGTTGGTCACCATCCTGTTGAAAATGCATTGCTGCTCTGGAATCAGTCCAGAAAAGAGCAAGTATGTTCTGGGACTGAAGTGATTGTAATATAATGGCAGGCTGAAGGAACTGAACCTTTTCAGTCTTGAACAGAAAAGTTTTAATAACGTCAAAAGGTTATTAAGGGTATTTTTACTGATTGGTAAACATGCCATTATTATCTGGTGTCCAGGACTGACAGTCTTACAATTCTACTTTTGATTCTGTATGAATCTTTCCTTTAGCACTTATTATTTTTGCTATTAAACTAATTTCACTAACATTGTATTAAGGGTATGAAGACATGTGGAGACTGTTGTACAGTGTACTTTAATGGACAACGTGTTAAACAGTAGGCCAGTGAATAGTAATTTTAAGACGTTATATTCCTTGGGCACTGCTGTGAGGATGCAGGATGTGGGACTAATTGCAAAAATCCCTATTTTTGCGGTTGACACCTTCCTTTGTGTTTATTAACAGATGGTCCTATGGAGTGCTACTGTGGGAGATTGTGAGCTTAGGTTTGTATTTCTAAAGTAGTGAGCTCTGTAAGTTGGTTATCCAAAGAGGCAATGATTCCCAATGAACAATCTATTCAAATTAGTAAATTAACAATTCTAATTAACAAATGAATTTTAGATGACATCAATCACATGCCAGTGGGAATTTTATGAGCCAGTTTCCTTTATGTAAATTCTTGCTGTTGTAAAGGCATAATTAATTATTTAGCTGTGCCTGCCTCTGTCCCCTTATTACACATGTATCCGTGATATTTTTCTGATTTGTTGTCTTCGTTGATGTTGGACAGTCCTTTCCCTTTTAAAAGAAGTTACTGGATGTCACAATATGATTTCTTGAAAATTAGAAACTGAACCTCACTTACAAACCTTGCCAACTACAATGACACAACACACTACTTAAGAAACATGACTGATTACTTATTTTACTTGATTAATTGGAAACATTTTGAGATTTTACATTGAGTGAGATGACATCTAGACCTTTTGGTCTAACGTCTGTTAACATTTTCTGTCACAGTGGGATGGGAATTTGGATTAGATATACAGTAAGTCATTGTGGTTTCACCCTTGACAATTCTTCAGGATTACTCTATATACTGGACTTCCCTGTTCATATGGGACTTGTTTGTAACACATCCATGTTTCTAGGTGGCACCCCGTACTGTGGTATGACCTGTGCAGAACTGTATGAGAAGCTTCCACAGGGATATAGGCTGGAGAAGCCTCTCAACTGTGACGATGAAGTGTAAGTAGAACACAGGATAACATCATGGAAAACTCTCACAGACGTCTCACTTTTAGGACATCCTGCACAGGACTGCTGATGAGCCTCATTTCCTGCAATTCGCTGTTTTATTTAGCTTATTTTCAGACCATGATGAGCTCTGTTGCAAGATGGAGTCTTAAAGACAGAGCTGTTTTTTTTTCGCATTTCATAGCATTTTGCCTTGAACAAGCCCTTTCCTTTTTCTGCATAGATATGACCTGATGAGACAGTGCTGGCGTGAGAAGCCCTATGAAAGGCCATCATTTGCACAGATCTTGGTAGCTCTGAACAGAATGCTTGAGGAAAGAAAGGTAAGATGGACTAAAATCTTTGTTTAGTGTCCATTTTCCCCCACTTAAATAAGAATTTCCCAGTCATTTCCATTAAGGTGAATAAATTTGGTAGAACTGATTTTACTGTTCTGTTGTAGATGTAATCACTGAAAGGTTTTAAGTGTGATGTCGCACTATTGCCCTTTGCACTTGATGTTTCAGTGAGGCCTGTAACTCCCTGCTAGGAATCAAAACAGATTGGTCCCACATGCAGTGCAGCTGTAACCTACACAGCCTGTCAGCTCCATTAAAAACCATTTATTTAACAACATGGCTATTTTCTTATGAAAACCAGTCTGAAGTCCTCAGGTAACATCTAATTTATCAAAAACTATATTAGTTATTTCTGAACATGGTCATGGAAATAAACTGCGAGGGCTTTAGATTGGTTCAGCCATTGAAAGTAATCTCCACAAACCAGTAGACAACTGGACAACAGGTGCTTATGTGCTTGCTGTGACATCACTGTGGGACGATCAGAGCTATATGGCAGTATGGCAGCTGCAGTGTGTCACATGCAGAACCAGGTGGAGATGTTGGAGTGCAGTGGACGGGTGTCCTCATTTTCCTTGTGCAGACATTCATTTTATCTGCTTCTATTATCTAGCTCAAAAGAGGGATAAAGTGTTAAAAATGCTTCATGATCTGACATGGTTCCCAGTTGTCACATTCTTACGCACGTCTTGTGTTTTTTTCAGACCTATGTCAATACCACTCTGTATGAAAAGTTCACCTATGCAGGGATTGATTGCTCAGCAGAGGAAGCAGGATAAAAGAAAAGAAAAAAGGAAGTCTGGGCTTCAGGTGTATCCTCTATGTACTATAGCATGCCTGAATTTAAGCAGTCCTAAGCTTGGGTTAGTAAAGTAGTATTTTGCACACATTGTGTGGAGTTTTTCCATTTATGCTTTGAACTGGATATAAGTCCTCCCAACTTTAAGCTTTGTGGAAAAATATCATAATGTTGCAAGGTATTTGCATGAAATGTGTGCATACTGAGGGCAGCAAAATCTTTGCTTTTCATTTTTACTGTGTTGTGTGCAACAATGACATTATCTTTAGCTGGGTGAAAACACAAGGTGTGATTAATACAGGAGACAGTGCATTCAGATCTGGATTCCACAGTGTGCACATCACTCCTCTTGCTGAATTATTTGTTAAATCTCTTGAGTCTTCCGAGGCTACACTGTGTGCAAAACAGTGAAGGTAAAAACGTGGTGACCCTTCAGGCAATGAAATCAGACCCTGACTTTCAGAGAAGAGTCTATGGCAGAAAACAGGTGGACATTGGAAACCCAAGATTGAGATTTGTTAGGAATGTAGACTTGATCTGGGTCATTATTCCACAAACCTTATGAAGTATGTTTTGTAGATGCACACTAAAAAAACACATGATTTTGATACTTCTATGAAAAGCACAACTTTGTAACTGCTCATTACAAAAGTACCTGTACATACAGTACATGTTATTTCATATTAAAAGAGTATTTATACTTAACCATGTCTGCTTAGTTTCTTGATTGATGTTAATGGAACATTTTATTTTATGTCAGCATATATTAACACTGGTATATACACCATAAATTTCAAAGTCAACAGTGACAGCATGATAAATGCTGGTTTTATAAGGACTCAAAGAATCAATGGTTGGCAGCAACAAAACTATTTTTTGTTTTTCCTGAGTGATAACAGCAGACAGGTGAACTTGAGCCTTCGTCATGATGTTATGTAGTGATAATGATTGCATTTTCAAATAATCCATGTATACTACTTGCTCTCGTCTGCCATTGCTGCAAAGGGGGAAAAAACAGTAAAGCTGATGTTTGAGAGAGCTGGTGTGGGCAATACCATTTTTTCCTTTACTGTATGTGTAAATGAATTTTAAGAATTCAATACAACTAAACATGGGCCAAAACATATAAAGTAAGTAATGATACGGTTTGCCCTTGCATGTTCACATTACAAGTGATGTGACACTAACAAAATGTAATGGAAGAGACCACAGATTTTGCACTTGTTTATAATTGGTCCTTCACAGGTAGGCTAAAGCTTAAAGCAAGCAAAAAAACTATTTTTGGGGTGCTTTACAACACTGAACTAAAAGAATAATTCAAATACATAAGAAAAGTGCCTTAATTTAACACTTAGTCTCAATTTGGAAGTCCCTGGAAAAACAAACTATGATGTAGTTTAAGCAGTATAATGTCAGATTTTTCTAAATGAAACTAGTGGGCAAATATAATATGAATAATCATTAAACTTTTTATATAGTACGTTATTCTAAAGAATTGTTACAAATGTTTGCATTTGCTTTTGCATCAATCAGTTTACATGTCCAGATACTTCAGACTCAATTATTGATAACAGCATCATGTGCCCTCCATGAAGTAAATACTTGATTTAAAAAAAAAAACAACAAAATAGTACTTTCTTACTTTTCTCCGTCTTTTACAATTTGCCTTGCTTAACCAAAGGTCTCCACAGCTTTTTGGCTTTTGTTCCAATTGGGTCCATGATTGAGTTCTAATTAATTACCAGTGGTAATTGCACCTTGCTCTTGAAAATTACTTGAAAAACAACTTGAAATTACCCCCACACCCCGAAACAACTATTTAACTTGTTACCTTTTGTGACTAAAATAAACTTAACACTACTTACCTTTTTTTAAGATAAACATCATAAAGGCAGAAATGACAATGTACCAGATGACAATGAAAATGTACTTTTTTCCTCATGTTTATTAGTCATAGCTCAGTTCATACACCTCACTGAGTGCAATTCAAGTGAGGTAGTGTTACTGGGTCACAATGAATTGCCCATTTTTTCCTCCAACGATTAGAAATACCACATTGTTTCAATAATTTTTTTTTCCAATTAAGGGAACTCAGGTCCATATGAGTAGGAGGGACATTAGCTTCCTCCTACAGTAGCTCATTGTTTTGAAAAATAGTTTTCCGTTTAAGTGATTATAGTTAAATCGTTCTAGGTCTTAAAGTCTCAATACAGACCATTAGTGTAGCTACCCCTTATCAATATGATCATACTGTATATATGTTTTTTGCTTTGTGAATGCTGTACAGAAGTTTTAGTTATTAAATTACAGCCCTTTACCTTTTGCTCACTGAAGTGGGAGGAGGAATCGGCAGTAAGTACTGAAGTGCGATGTCTTAGCGAGAAATGGAGGACATCTCTTCAATAAGCTCCCTTTAGGGCTCGATTAAACAACACACAACACCAGTTTTTAAGTGTGCATTTACTTGTTTCACTTAACAGCTGAAATGTGTTCAAGGAAATTTCTGCTGCAGCTGCCCTGTGCCCTAAGCAAAACATTTTATCCAGTGGTGCCTTTTCTATAACATGATTAAGCTACATTTTCATTTTGAATAAGTGTTCCTAACTGTGGACCCAATGTCCAAAATCCAGCAGGTTTTCCATATCCGTCTATGGGTAGTAGCTGAATGGTATGAAGGCAGCATAATTTTGGCCAGTTAAACTTTAAGCACATCTTTTTAAAACTTCTCCTAGACAGAGAGGCTTAGAACTTTAGAAGAAATCGGATTTTAGAATGCTAGATGCCAGATTCTAGATCCTGAAGACCAGAGTTAGGAATTCCCACTTCAGAACAACAAAAAAAAAAAATCAGACAGGCATGTTCCCAAGCAATACTTAATCACCCTTCTGGAGGGACAGTAAACTGACAAAAACAAAATGGAATGGAAACAATTTCCCAAAAGATGCTTAACAGCAGGTACAGTACATGTGTAAACGGCGTGTTGCGTGATCTCTCGTTTCTTTAGAAGATCATTAAACAGCAGATAAACTCCTGGAAGCATCAACAACAACACAAAATACAGACAAAAATACTCCTACTGTACAGTAATGCCATACAGAAGCATTATTTTACACAGTGATCACCATCTTTTCACTTTTGCATCTTCCTTTACTTGCCACAACATCAATTCCATACATGCGGTAGCATCTTCACTGGAGTCGTGACCATCAACTGCATCAAAAAGGAAAACAAAACATTAACTTGGCTCTTCAGGATATGAGCTGAGCCTGTAATAACTATGCAGACAATGAAGGGAAACCAGACCAGGATAGATCCAGAAATTTGGAACAGAAGAAGGGATAAAGGTTTTCCCCATTAGGGACACTCCAGTACCACTTTCAGAAGCAAAAGCGAGATTAAAATCTCAAACCTTTACTTTCCATTATTGTTCTTTCATAAAAAAAAAGTTTGTCAATGTAAAGTTCATCAGGTGTAGGAATGTTAACTACTGACTGACACATGTAGCTTTGAAATGCCAGTTGTGAAAAGCCATTACTCTTTAACCTTCAACCTCTCAAAAATTGTGCCTAATTCAAAAGGTTTAGCCTCCGCCCCAGATCTTGTGGCACAAACTCTTTGAATTAGTACAAATAACTGTATGAATCACAAAATGAATTGTAGAAGGAAGAGGCTTTTCTGCACAATGCCTTTGTGATCGGCGCAGAGCTCTGCTCACAGATAAGAGTACAGCAGTAATGCATCCAGAGATTGCCTGTACTAAGATTGCTCTTACCAAGGGGGCCACCTTGGATACTTAGTTTTTGAAATGCATAGAGCATGTGATGCACTAGTTTGTAGATTCTCCTCACTCGGCTTCTCCTTGCTCCAAAGCTGGAGGGACAAGGCCAGGATAGGTCTTTCCAACAAGGACAGAACTGTTATTGCTCACCAGCTGCAGCTCGGCCAAATTCATCATCGCACGCTACACATGAAAATTAAGAATATGTAAAAGCTGTAATCACGGACGTGCCTTGCAAACCTTGGAAAGCACAAGGTGGAATATGTATTTCCAGTGTCCATTGAAAAGGAGTCAATTTTACTAGATAAATGTTTAAACAGCTAAAATGGCAATGAAATTCAAATCCACAGCTATTACATTTTGATATGGGCTTAGTTCAGCGGCTCTATTTCTAGGTTGATAAAAAAAAAAATCTTTCTTACTCGTTTCTAGCTGGACGAACAAAGAAACATGGTCCCAATCACTTCGTAAACTTTTTAAACTTAGACCTATAGGAAGGATTTTAAGAAAAGTCATGCCGTTTCAAGTGTGGGCAGACTAGGATAATCATTTTTACCTCCCACCAGCTATTTCTTCCAGTGTAATGACAAATATTTGCAGCTGTATATATAAACAATATAATCGCTACCAGTACATCATAAAAAAGGTGGATGTGAAACTGCAAAATCTCATCCTGGAAGTAAAAAAGGCTGAAGTGTTGCATTAGAGAGAAAACCAGCATGTGTTAAATGTGATAAGTCAAGAATTTTAATATGAGCATCTTACCATATCAACAAAATCTCATCTATAGCTCTCAACCACTGGAAAACTTCTTTATACTACCTAAAGCAAGTGATGTACTTTGCTTTCAAGAAAAGAACCCACCCTTGTGATTGTCTGCAGCATATTTTTGCTCAAAATGTACTAACCTGTTTGAAGTGTCTGAATTTATAGGCCCAATCAGTAAGTGGTAGGTAGGCTCACCAACACAAAACCCCTGACAAATTGAAGTGTCAGTCTGTGCTGGTTTTTAAGCAGCAGGTTCAAATTGTATTTATTCACCTGTACCTTCTCTTCAGTTTGAGCTGGTCTCCACTGAAATACTTTATTCAAACCACAGTGAGCATAATTCCACATCGAACAGCTGTACCCGTTTAAATGTTCAATCCTGAAAGGGTTCCAGCCTACATTTTCATATTTTCCCATACCTGCCATAATCTCCTCTTCTAGTACTTCATAAAAAGATTACTACCATTCCATCCCTCATCTTGCAAAATGGGCAGGTTGTAAAGGGGACTGGGACTGGCACGGGCATGGTAATTCAAAGGGTTTTAGCACAACTGCTCCATGGTTTGATTTTCATTGGCAGTATCACTCTAAGAGGGACCTACAGTAGGGCCTAAAAATGTGCCTTAGATAATCCACAGTAAGAAATAGTAGAAAGGCCAAAACAACAAAAGGGAATAGTTTATTTTTTTCAAGCTGAAGCATTGGATAAAATTATTTTAATCTAGTTGTTGCAAAAAAAAAATCAGTCACCCAAAGAAAAAAAAAACCCTAACCAACATTCAACTGTAAACAAAAATGAATTAATCTGAAGACAATCCAGGTTTCAGTCTTTGGAGGTACAGTAGATCCCCCTGTTGTGAAGACATGTAAAGAGATTAAGGGCATTAAAGTTTGACAGACCTGTTTTGCCCCCTTTTCTATTAAGTCATTGAACAAAAACAGCATTGGTAAATTCTGTAGTAAGTGAGCAATAATTAGGATCTATGAAAAAAGTCATCTGTAGTGCTTGTTAACTTTAAACAAACCAGAGAATGGGAAGCCACTGGAATTTAACTGTTCATGTACAGTTGAAATTAACAGGAAAATGTAAAGTTAAAAGAATGCAAAATCAACCTGAGAGGAACCTGTTCATAAGTCCTCATGTTACAGAAATACTAGAGGAAAGCACTGTTTGATAGTGTAATACCTACCACTTTCCTGTATTATTCTTCTAAGGTAGTCTGCAGTTAGGCTTCTAAGTGATCTCTTGTGTGGCAAACCCAGGCGATGGGGAAATACCATGGCAGTATCAACAACAGTGCTGTGAAGGAGCTGGAACATACAATAGCAATACATTTTGGGGATTTCAAGTGAAATATATCTACCCAGTTTATTTCAGTGGGGTTTGAAGTCAGACGTTAACCTGGGGAAACGCCAACTTCAAATTCTAGACCACGATCTGAGTCTGTTGTGAATAATCAAGGCCACAAATTACAGCATGCAATCTAGGAGATTAGATAGAAATATGGGAAGGGAAGAATATTTGAACAACATGGTATTATAAAGTCTTGTAATTGATTTTATATGTTTTAGATGGTGGAGGGAAAAAAATCCAGTTGTGGATTGAGTAAACCAGTTCTGTTTGTCAAGCAATTTGCTTTGTGCTAATTCATGCAATTCTGGAAGGGCAAAAATGTGTCGTTTTTGGCCAAACCTATGCCCCAACCCCTTCCAAATATGTTTTCCAATTTTTTTTTGTAGACCTAAGTGATAAAAAGTAGCAGGTGATAAACCCATTAGTCTGATTTGTTTTCCAATTGACAGAAAAAATAAATTCATCATGCATAATGGTGGTCAACAGAAATGGGCTATGGTGAAAGTTACAGGTTTGTAGCACGTGTCCAGCTAGCATTCAGCAGTGACATCTGCAACACGTGCCTTGCAGCAGGTTACAGATAGTCTTGTGGGATTCCATCACATCGCCAAGCCCTAGAAGTCATTCTATCACATCTCCATCTCTGAGCCCAAGAAGCCATGTCATCCCACCAATACACAGTGGGGTTCAAGAGGCATAAAAACTACTTTAACATTTTGAACTCTCAAAATAAAGACATTTGATATTTAAAATCTATTTTCTAAAAATATAATCATAGGTTTTTGCTCATTATATTACTTTTGTACATGTATTTGCATAAACTCAACCAAAAATCTAAGAGATCTAAAAAACAAACTCAACCTAAAATGAATTCTCTGCTTTCACCAAAATTCAGAAACACAATCCTTATTTATAGCAGTTTCTCAAAGTGTGGGGTGGGAAGCATGCTGTGTACTGTCCTACCTTTAGGGCACAAAGGTCATAATCAAAGTTGTGCCCGATTAATATGGTTTCTGCACTGAAAAGGTTCAGCAGCACTGCTTGGACATCACGGATTGAGGTGTTGGTGGTCTTCAAGTCAGCTTCAGTCACTCCTGAAAACCTTTTAACAAGAGAACACACTTCACATTTACACCAAGAATTCATTCATATTATCCAACAATACATATTTCATAAATAAACGTCGTACAACCACAACATATAACATACGCATACATGAAATCAGCTCATTTAAATGTTATTTGCTATTAAAAAAAAAAGTGGTCGTACCTGGTATTGTAGTCAATGACTTCATTGTCCGGTTGAACAAAAGTGTCATAGACAACCTGCAGACTGGAATTTACCACTGTAACCCTGGCTAGTTCCAGGCCTTGGGTTGTATAGCACTAGAAATAGATATTGTATACAGTAGCTTAACAGTGGATACTGAAAAGAAAAGGTTTTAAAACTCAACGACCAAGCCATCAAGTACAGATGTTCTCACCATCTCGCAGTCCGCTGCAAACACACCAGGGTTTCCACCAGAAGAAACAGGCTTGGAAAAAGTCTTTACAAAGCACTCGAGGTCATCCTTTAGACCATCATGTACATGAAGCTGTAAGGGGGGGGAAAATATTGCATATTGTCATGCCTGACCAACAGGGGATATTAAAATGTAAATTTATAAAAGTGCTTGCAAATTTACCAATATGGAAAACAAGTAAAACCCCCTTTTAAATACTCAAGATAATGAAAAAGATACCCTTATTTTCCCCAATACTAATTAGAATCATGCATTCCCCCTCCCATACAAAAATGCTATTCTATAATGTTAAATGTTTACTCAAAAAATGGTCAAAAGCTCTATCAGGAGAGGAATGGTCAAAGAAGCAGAAAGCTCCATCTCCAATACATGTGGAGCTTTTGGGGAACTGGACGACTTTCCAACTAGTTAAAACCACAGTGCTGAGTGCCTTAGGGTCTTAGATTTTCATTAAAGGTTGGTCTTCAAGACCTTGGTTCTCTGAAAAGGAATGCAGTCATCACTGTTTAAGTGCCCTGTCACTGGCATCACTCGGACACCTTTCACCAGAGCACTGATCTGTGGATACTGGATTGTCAATGAGGCAGTGGTCAGGACCTTGCTGTATTTCATGTGAAGGATGGCAGCTCAAATCCGTATGGTTTGGAAATTCTTAACTGCAGGGATGAGTGGCACCTACTGGCAAACCAAAGCCTTTTGAGGCATCATTCTGATGGATCTCCGATCTCAGTTCTGATCAAGTCAAGTGTTCTTAGAAACTGGAAGGCTGTAAGGGTGGTAATCCTACTCATAAGTGGAATCCTGTAGCATCTTAACACGCCTTGACATCACACTTTAACCTCCCCATTTATTTTAGCAAGGTGTCAAGATTCATGATCCCTGAGATTATCTTGTTTAGCTCCATAATTATGATCACTCCAAAAGAAGTGCACAGGTCTAAATATAGTCTTTAGTATACTGAAGGCACAAATGTACTCTTGTTCAGTAGGGGATATTGGTTCCTTTTTGTTTTTCACAAGGCTTGACATTCAATCAAGTTCAGGTGGGTAGTTGCGTCAGCATGCGTAGGCTGCAAAGGAACAAGTAATTGGTTTATTACATGCTGAAAAAAAAGAAGAAAGAAAACGTTTTGGCCGTGGAGACTTCAGGTGCGTCACACCTTCACACACCTGAAGAAGTCTCCACAGCCGAAACGTTGTTTTCTTTCTTCTTTCTTCCAGCATGGAATAAACCTATTACCTGCTCCTATTCATCAATCAAATCCACCTTATCACTTTTGCCTGATCAACACACCCAGTGTTTTACTGCATACTCAGTGAATTTCAGTCATGATCAAGGAATCAAAATGACGCCAAACTTAACATACACAATCCATAGTTGTTAGTTTCTCAAAAAAACTTCAAGTGAGAACTGTTCCATACTGTACGTGTTCAGCTTGTGTTATGATAACACAAGAAGGCGGCTCCACGGTCAAATCGTTATTTCCTTTCTCCTCTCTTCAGCAAGGATTAAACCCTACCTTCCTGAACTACTTGTGTTATGGTATACTGCTTTGGTTTGAGTACTCTAACTCTAGCAAGTGGTATTTATGATGTATAAAAAGAACAAATTTAAGGAAGAGGGTTCAACAGTAACATTCTTTTGCAATGTCGATGTCCTCAGTTTTTAATCGTCATTACAAAGACCATTTCAACACTCGGCAAAAGCATCATTGAGTACTATATAACTTTTTAAAAGCAATAAGAGGAAGGCAAAAAGGAGATATTCATGTCTTTCAAATGTGAAGGTGGAAAAAGAATTACAAATGCCTGTCATCTTCTTTCTACATTTTCAGTATTGATAACCTGTTAATATATCTGTACAAAACGTACTTTAAAAACCTGGCATCCAGGAGTCCCTATTGCTCCTTCACAGCAGCTGTATCGGGTATCCATGCCACCAGGAACTAAAAAAGCAGCATTGCAATGACAGATTAAATCTTGCTTTCTCGTTGTATCGCAAAATTACATACTGTAAGAAATGCAATTGATTACTTTGCACAAAACTTTCAAGATCTGCAGAAAAATGCTCCTTGTAGCTTCTTTTTAAATATATGCGTAAGAATGAAATAGGTGCATAATCTAACCCACTGAGGATTTATTTAATGCTGAAAAACCATGTTGTATTAGGCATTAGGTAGCAAACAGTGTACTGAGGTTGTGGACCACTTTGACACTTGAGCTAAATCAGGCTAGACCTTGGTAAATATGAATTTCACAGAGACGACTGACATTTTGCACCTCTGAAATACATCCATCTGCAAGTGCATTGCGAACAGTTTTTTACTCACTCTTTTTCTTCAGGACTTTTCCAGAGTGGTAGTTACACTCTTCCTTTCGAATATGTTTCCCAGAGAGGCTCACAGAATAAGAGGCCCCACACCGACAGCAGATTCTCTTTAAAGCTGGGAATTTCAGATTGCGCTAATAAGTTAGTCACTGGAACCTCAAGTCAAAACAAAATTCATTGCTAGAAAGTTGAAAGAATTGCTTCAGGAGCAGGAAAAAAAGCTGGTTGAACACTATAAGGGATTAAAAAAAGTTTTGTAAATGCTTCATCTTCCCCTCACTTGCATTAAAAAGGTTACAAACAAGTTATTTTGGCCATTTGACCCTCTTGCCTGTTTGGTAATTGTAGTTAAATGATCCAAATCTACGATCCCTTAGGTAAAATAACTCCCTCTTCTCAAATTTAAATGCACTTACCTTTAGTTTCAACTTCTGCCCTCTGCTTAGTGTTTCAGACTTATGGGGTATTAAAAGTATCCAATTTCTTTAATAAAATTTACAATAACCAAAGAAGGGAAAGAAATGATACCTACGGTCAGTGCTGCCTCTCTTGGTGCTCTGACCATACAGTATAGCAGCACCAGGCTTACTTGGGTGCTGAAAAGGGTAGCCATTCTCTCTCAACATCTCTTCAGACATAACGTGCTCCTTCAGTTGCTCATATAATGCTGCATCTAAATGGTGGGGAAAAAAAAATAGGAAAAGATCACACATGCATTCCTACTAACCACAGCCAGTAAATTGTGCATGTAAATTGGCACAATGAAGTCTCAATTTAGTTTAGAATGGCATTAAAGTATACATCTTAATAAAACTCACCATTTGTCTGCAGCAGTCCAGGGCTAACAACCGTGTTGCCTCTTGATCCTGGGGCACAGGCGTCTGTACCTACAGCAGAAAAAAAAAATATCCAGGAATGCCATGCATTGTAAAAGAATCACAAATGCCTGTAATCTCCTGGGTTTCTACCCAATTTGTGTCCAATGGTGGCAACACATGCTACTAACCCACAACCGTCACAGGAGACATTTAATGTTCATTGTGTGGTTTCATTTACCCACCATTCCTATTCAATAAAAATAAGTGCACCTGCTATTATAGATCGAGCTTTTTTAGATATCTTTGTAATTTTGCTGTATTAAGTTTTTGATGCTCAGTACATTTTGCCTACAATCTGTAACCATTAACCCATTAAATCAAAAGGCAACTTTTGAGAACAGTTTTGGGTGACATTTTGTGCTTCCAGACAACTTTTAACTAAATTCATAGCCAAATAAAGTTGGATTAAAACAAACTTTTTATAGGAAGGTGACTCTGGTTCTTCAGCCTCTTGAGGGAGTTCACAGCTATACTGAGGTACTTCAGCTTGTTGGCGCTACGGTCAAACACTGCCTTTTCTTCAGCCAGCGCCTAGGGAAGATATCATTGTCATCTGCGAAAGTGAGGTATGTCAAAAGTTTAAAGACCTACTGTATACTGAGCACAGTTAACAAGGAGTATATATCAAATATAACCCAGTCAAATGGTTGGTTGCTGTAAATGATTAGGTACAATACCTATTTAAGGACAGTATTTTATTTTAAACAATGAAGCAGCCCTAATGCAAACCTTCTCAAATGCCTCGTTGACCGTGAAGGACGTTTTCAGAAACTCCTCCAGGAACTGGTTGACATAACGCTGCCGGACATCATGTGGTACTTTTGAACTGGCCTCAGCAGGCATCTTTGGTTTCCGTTTGGTGGAAATTGCCTATACAAGCAACAGGTTACCCATCTCCCAACAGGACAACAACCAAGCTATAAAACATGGTGCTCCAATTGTAACTACCAATGCTCCTTAAACAAAATAAATGGAATAAACCCACTGCCACACTGCACCTCCCCTAGAATATTTGGCTTGCTTTAGCTTTATACAAAAGAGACAAGAGCTATGTTGTTCATGAAAACAGAACTGGACAGTGGTTTACACAGTGTTGTCAGCTATTAAAGAACAATCAACCACCTGAAATTAATTAAAAAAAACTGAATCACAGGCCTGGTGGATAATCGAAGAACCTTCCTGAAATTCACAATTCAACCAACTTTGCAAAAATGGTGACCTTAGCAGGGGTGTATGACGCAGCACGCTGGGGGGCTGGAACTTGAGTGACTGGTAGGTTTATGTTTCCTTCAGGGATGATAAAGTGCACATTTGTGGTCCAAGGTACTGCCATGCCAATTGGTATGACATTTAGATGTGCTGGAAGAAGAGTAATTGCACCTGTTAGAATTGTTTTAATCAGTCCCCCCCAAATCCAAGACTTATTCATAAAACAATTAGAGTTTATAGTTGGATATTAATCAGATACACTTTATTATAACTTTATTATTTATTATACCTAGTTTTATAAACTTACTTCTGAAGGGCCAAGACATTTATTGAAGATATACATTTGTCAATCTTTTTATATATAGCCTTAAGCACTATTTGTTTTTTATGAGCATTGTATTGCTATACTTCCTTTTCTAGTGAGCCAAAGCAACACACCGGTTTGCACATGAGTAGGCAGAGGTGCAGAGGGGACCACCGTAACGGGTTTCTTTTGCCCTGTAGTCGCGGCAACGAAAGCCTGCCCCCCTTTGACAGCTGCCGTCAACACGGAGGCCTGCTGCTGTAAAAGCTGGATTCTGGTTGGATTGGCCAGCTGGGATGGTGCCTCTCTGAATGGAATAACAATCTTTTGCTGTCTGATTTTGTTTGTCTGTCAGAAGACAAAAGGAGAATTCGTTTAGTACTTTGGGTTCATCCAGCTCCTGATACCAAGATCTGTCAGAAAGCAAATATTAAGTTACTTACAATTTGATCATCCTTTACTGTAAAACAGGTTTGCTGTAATTCAATTGAACAGAAGTGAAATGTACTAAAAATTCAACCCACTTATTCTTCAAAGTACAGAGCTGGATAATCCTGACTATTAAAAGACAATTCACACATACTGTGTATTGTACTAGTCTTTCTGCAAAAGTGGAATTGGTTTTGAAAACGTCAAATCTCATAGTACACGTAACAGGGCAGTTTATGCATGTTGTACCATTATGCACTTTCTGATATTCTAGCAAACCAGGTTTTTCTTTTCAAGTCACCAGGTTCTGTGGAAATTCCTTAATGAAAACCTAAACAATTCAAGACATCTGCTTCTTTTTGAAGGGTCCACACCACAGTCTAAGAGAAATGGGACCTGGAACAATTTGAGATGTATGCAATTAAACAGCTTATCAGACATTTGCTTGCAATTGTTCAGAACGCTGGAATTTTGGTATATCTGTTGTTAAAGCTCAAGTTCAAGGAGTCAATTTTCTAAATTTCTTAGAAAACTAATACATTCATAACATGAGCAGGATATCTAAGCAACATTCAGTAAACCTTTCACCCCACACACCAAATGTTAAATACATCAACTAAAAAAAGCTTAGAAGAAATAAACTGGGGTATGACATACCACAGTTGATGCTGCCTAAAAGAAAATGAAAAGTTATTAGACTTCTAAATACCTGAAATATCAGGTGTTACTTATAGCAATTGTCAATCTTCTAAAGTCTTCTAAACTTTATCACCCCTTGAAGTTAGAGATTGAAGAGCTACAATATGGTACTTCACACTGTTACAGTCTTATCCCTTCTCCATTCTGAACTCAAAGTGTTTGCGGCTTAAGACCTACAATCACCCACTGAAAACTGCAATATCACAGGAAACATTTAAAATGAGCTGAACACTTCATATTTTGCAACACTTACATACACTACAAATGTAAAGCCTATAAACTGGTTTGCAAATAGCAAATACTTTGAGTTTACAATAAATGGAGCAACTGTGTGTGACGCAGGCCGCTCTCCCTACACCTCTTGGAATTCGATCCCAGTTGCTTGTGGTCTCCAACCACGTACAGCACCTCTTCCTAGACAGCAGACAGCTCTTCCAAACCAAAGTACCACTGTGCTGCGGCCGAATTCAAGACCATCTAGATTCCCACTCTCACAATTCCCTCGGGTCACCGAGCCCTTCTACACGTCGTTACACCCACCAAGTACAAATGCTTCACACAACCTTTAAAAAGGACTGCTTAAACATAGTACCTCATTATATTTGGACACATGTGCAACCCTCCGCTTCTGGCCAGGAATCAGGTCAGGTTTCTTCTCCAGTTCGGTTTTACCTTCATCGGCGACCTCCACCTAACGAAATTCCAAGACTTATTTCCTCATTACTATTCTGTGGTGTGTAACTTAGTAAAATGTTACAAGACTTACAGGTGTGCTTCCACTTGATGGATCTTCTAGTTTGGATTCATTGTCTTCCATAAATATGCGGTAACACTCCTCCATCGGGTCACTATCTGATAAATCCACATCTAGATCTGAATAATCGGAAGCCAGATCGACTGGGGAATTCTGGCAGGTTGTTGTTTCCACGGGTGTGGGAGTTGCATTGGACAAGCCGCACTCCACTTCACTGGCTGAAGGCTCTGGAGCACAAACTGCAGCCAGCTTTCGCTGAAACTCGAGATCAGCCAAATCGCCAGCGAAGGCTGCCTGTTTGGGCTTCTTTTGCTGGCCACTTTCATCGAGACAAAGGCTAGCCGACACTGGATTGTCCAGCTGTTGCATTCTCTGGCCTAATGACACGCCCGACGTTGGCTGCAGGCGAGTGTGACATGTATTTGGCATGGTGTTGAACTGTTGAGGTTTGTCCTGAACTTCACATTTAGTTTCTGTGACAGAGTTGATTCCAGCAGGGGCCTGCGACTTCAGTGGCTGCATTAACTTTTGTATAACCGAGGATGGCAACGGTAGATGACTGTCTACACTCTCTCGTTGCTTGCTCCTTTCTTGCTCCGTGCTCTTCTTCGCCGAGTCCAATTCAGCCTTTTCTTGACTTATCTTGGCTTCAATGGACAAGTTATCATGTTCCTTTTGGGGAGCGAGATTCCAAAGAGACCCAACTAAGGCACACGCATATCCTGGTGTTTGAAGAGGTTCATCTTCATTCAAGCAGGACTTGACATATCGCATTTCATTTTTTCCTGAACACAAGGACTTACTTGCGGCTCTGATGTGCAAGATCTCACCTTCACTCCTTAGGTCTACACCGCCAGCCTGTAAAGAAGCTTGGCCATCACAGATTTGTGAGATTTCTGCTATAGTAGATATACTTGTCTCACACTCTACAACTGGACCTAAGGCATCTTTATATGGGGCTTCTTCTGGTACCTGAGCATCTTCAGAAGCTAGTATTAATTTTTCATTTTCAGTTACCTTACTCTTTTTTGAGGATCTGGGCTTTTTTTCATCGGCCTCCAGAGGTGGGATATCAATGACGAGGACACCATCATCATCAGACTCTTGCGACTCCAGCTCTGTATTTAACACTTCAGCCTTGTCTTCAAAAGTATCCTCTCGCATCCTTTTGTTTCCCCTTCTCTCTTCTTCAAAATGGTACTGTTTGTGGTTCCCCAAATATGCGGAATAGTTGGACAAAGGGTCATATTCTAAATCCGTTCTTGGCTTGGATTTATCAATCACATACTTGCTACTGGCAGAACATGTAGAACTCAAGGCCTGTGAATGACTAGAACTTGTTCGTCTACTTTTGCCATGGTCGTCCATGGGGCTCTCTTCACAAGGCCGCAGCACAGTGACTGGTTTAGGACAGGAACCAGCCACGCCCGCCTTCCCTTTAAGGGTTTTGTAGTGCGACAGTTTCTTCTGCTCTTTTTCAACCTCACATTTGACAGTTTCAATTGCTTTGTTGATCCTTTCGAGCTCCAAAAGGCTGTGATCCTTTTCAGATAGTGCTGCTGGCTTACTCACACTTCCACCACAAGCCTTGTACTGGGTTATGTGATCTCTTCCAGTTCCTGCAGAAAAAAAAGGAAAAGCATTTGTTCAGAACAATCTTGTTTCTTAACACTTTATTATAGCTTACTCCTATGCATACAGTACACACAGTCCAAACTCAGTAGAGAAGATGGACACGCAAAAATGAAACTTGCTATTCCCAGCTTCCATTTCCCAGATTCTTATTTTATGCTTCTCAGACTAAGTGCTTCACACCTGTCTAATGGGTGCAGTTGTCTCAGCAGGAATTTAATCCTGGTCAATCGCACGGTCTGAGCACACGCAGTATCCCTCCCTAGAACGCAAATAATTATGCCATGCAAAGGGAGTAGGTCCTCTTCTGCAGGCTCAGCTAAATCAGCAGAGTTTCACACAAATCTAGACAGGAGGTGGGGGCACTTTTCTTCTGTAACTTGCTCAGTGCCAAGTCCAGTTACACCTACAGGATGTCATGGGCTATTGTCCTACCTGTTCATCCACTGGTTGACTAAAAAAGCAAGATTTGTTTTGGAAAATAACTTATCCTATTATGTTTTTTCTATGACATAAAATTAGGCACCTTCCAGTGATTTACCGTCTATAGGGGACAACAATACAGCCTGGACAGAGGTTATAGCACACCACCTGATGTACCATAATCCCCATAGAATTAATAAAACACCACACAGATCATTACAGACAGTGACTGTCTTCCATCTCCCCATCACAGACTTCCTCACAAATATAACTGGTGCTCTTCACAGGTAATTTGAGAACACACTCTGATCAAGAGCCTTCCTCTTTGAGGCTAGTATATTAATTATAACATGCATGATGACACCAATGAACCACATATTGCTGCTACTAAGTGACTCCACAGAAACTGCTGTCAGCTTTCATGTACCATCCATTCAGCTCACAGGTCTTACTATAGCCAAATAAAACTTGGGAGGATAGAAACCAAGAGCGCTTTAGATCATTAAATTGTTTGCAGATATTCTTCAGGAAAGAACTACAACCAAATCACATTACCTAAACTGAGTGAGCTCTTGGGACTGGGCAGAATCTTTATTATTGTATAAAAGTTAATGAAATAGCCCACATTATCTTATTTCATATTCATGCAAAGACTACTACATCGTGTGCGATTCAAAACCAAATACTCCTATACAAAAATCTAATTTGCTTCATTTAGCCATCTCCCCCCAAGCGCAAAAATAGTAACAATTCTTAGCATACAACACATTCAGAGGTTATCTGAGCTCATATGTCCAATACTGCAGTATTGCGAACAGAAAACTATACATAACCGCCAGAAGTCTACTATATATGCTTAAGGGTAAGCAAATACAGCCCAGTTCAGTTAAATGGGACATTAACAGCAGCACATTAACGGTCTGAACCGGAGAAGTACAAATCAAAGCGGCAGGAGGTGTTCTGCTTTGTTTAATTTCTTATTAAACATCACCTTGTTGCATATGAAAAACGCACTTACTGTACCTAAATGAAGCACCCTCACCTAAAACTAAGCTAAAACTGCCATCCACTCCACATTTTTGGTTTAAAATCGCGTTACAGTAGGTCTTCTTTTTAACCGTAAAACCTTTAGTTTTCTGTTCGTTTATCAGTCCTAAAGATACATCTTTAGAAAAACAGACTCTGAAGTGTTACAGCAAGTGTGTGGGTTACTTCTACCAAGCCACCAGTAAACATAAATGTTCCAGGTGAAGCTGTCCACAAAGTTAAGGATAGCAACTTATTACTGCACAATCATACAAATGAGGGGGTGCCATTCAGACCAAGTCGCGCGTTTGCCTCTGCAGTATCTGGCTGGTCTGAGGACATGCAGCGAAACAAACCGGCTCTTTCTTTTTTTAGCTCCAAAAGTCACTTTTGTTACAAAGAGGCGACGCCTTGCCGGAATACACTACCAACATTGGCTCCTTACCCGGCGCTCTTGGTGGCAGTGACACGGGCGCCAGCTTTTTGTCGCTCCCTTTGTCATGTCGGTACTGGCAGAACGGCCGCTCGCAGAAGCCGTATCTGAAAACTGGACAGTCTATCTTTTCGAAATACCCTCTTGACGGCAGCATCAACGGCTAACATAGGCCAGGCTATCAGTTTAGAGTTAACTAGAGAAATGTGGGGTGAGGGGGGGGGAAACTTTCCAAAGACCGATTTTATAACCTACAACCTCCCAATTACGTTCACTTTCCCCCCCGAGGTCGGAGAGGGCGGCGGCGGCTACAGGTAGATTTTTTTATCTTGGACGGCTGCACTCACGTAATTGGATATCCTTAACCTACGGGGCAATCAAGACCCAGTTTTTTTTTAAAAAGTGGTTGAATTAGTATAAGACTGAAAGTAGCGATGATCAATAATGCGTCTAGAAACAGGCCGCCAAGTTTAAAAAAAGCCCCAATCCATAAAATTATATTGGTGAACTTCAATCACCTATTCCTAGCAAAATTGCTAGCATTCGTAAATTGCAGATCAGTTAAGCACGTAATTTGTTCCATTAAGGGATCTCTGATCCTTGGAGGCTGAAAGGTATTCAAATTTCTGTTCTACGCGATCTCAAAATTATATTTAACAAGTGACACGTTTAAGTTGAATCGATCAGTTAAATTCTAACTCATTAGAAAGTGATTTAATGATTTGTTACGCAAACTGAGGGACGTGAATCGATCTTCCCGTTCTAGGAATCAGTATTCATGTCTTGCCAGTATAAATACTGGTTGGATGGTAGGAAAACTATGTATATTTTCTTCGAGACGTGGCAGGTGTCTATATGCAATTTGCACATTTTTGGAATTTGCAGAAAAAGAATGTTAAGAAAGCCACTTTTTCTCAATAAAGTTGGCGCTTTGGTGTGACTCTAGTAAAAAAAAAAACTTTGTTAGGTTACATCTAATGTCGTTGTAATTTGAAATGGTTTGCTGGCAGAGTACATTGCTACTTATTTTTTCGTTGTAGATGTAAGGAACGTGATACAACACTTTAGGCCTGCGAAGTTTCCTTAATATTTAAAGTAATTAATTTATCGACGCACATTCAAACAATGCGAAAAAATCCCTTTGCTTTTGTAAGTGAATGTGTATTTATGCATTAGAACTATATATGTTAAGGTGTATTCGAACGTGTTACCTCTAAATGCTGTATAATATATAAATTATTTAATCAGTTCAACAACCGATAAGTTAGACAATGCTACATACTTTGATAGTTCTACTGGGTTCTAACTCGATTGTGTCGTTTCGATTTTGTTTGCAAATTATGCCGTATTTTCTGACACCTAAAATCGATTAAAATTTCACAATAAAATATAAGTCGACTTTGACAAAGTACCGCTGAAAACACATTTTGCTGCGCACACATGGACACAGAAAGCAATGAGTAACATGCGTGCAGACTCCTCTAAGCGCGATGCCTGAAGAGTGGTTCTCGAAGATACGCTTGTTGCCGACAGAAGTACTTACTTTTGGGGGTTCTTGGCTATACAATAGTAATATTTGTGTACATTTAACTCGAATCCGAACAAAGAAGTCCGTATAATGTTAATGTTATTCTCTTGTTTGCAAAATTTTACATACTGTACACACGTGTAGAGTAAAAAATAATCCTACAGTATATAGGCTTTAAAGAATTTTCTAACTCATTCAAACTGTATTCTAATTTACTGAAAAATATTTTAAAAATAAGCCCGGCGAGTTGGTCTACATAAGTCTTTTAGCATATAAACCTATATAATGTAACCCCTAACACCACATAACCTCTGTAGTATAGACAAAGTGTTTTGTTTTTTTTCTTTTTCCCCGTTTCATTCACTTGTTGCTACCTTGTTGTGTCATGTTGAGACATCTGTTTATTTATATGTATACAGTATACCCCTGTTTGTTGTATTTTCCCTTTTTTGTATTTAATTTTTTTTTAAAAAACGTACTGATGGGGGCCTGAGTTATATTCCTCAGCCCCCCCCCCCCAAAGAAAAACTGACATTGAACAAACTGAGTTTGCACCTTTTTGTTTTATTTTTTAATGCAAAATTAATGTTTTTAATGTTTAATGTTCATGAAAAGTAAAGAAATAAACGTGTACCTCAGTCGGAGGGTTAAGACTAACCCCCCCCTGCTTTCAAACGTCGGTGCTCCGTCTTACAATGATGAAGAAATTATCACCCTATTTATCTAGATACATTTCAATACGATACTAGAACTTGTAGAAGGAAACAGTACAAAGAAAGGTCAGATATTTTGATTTTATTAGCATACAAAAGTGGTTTGTTGAATCTACTTTTAATGCGGTATCGTCAGTCCACCAACCATACTTTATCCGGCTCTCTAGACTTCTTTGAATCCAAAAATATAAGTTTTAAATCAATACCGGGTTCCACCTAGTGGTTAAAACTTGTTTTAAACGAAAAACATGCTTCATAACGGGGTGCCGCTTTATTCTACACTGTTCTCTCAAAAATCATTTCGTTTCACAGGCTAAAAGCGATATAACAGCAAAATAAATAAAAAAAAAACAATCAAACGGTGAAACATATGAAGTGTTTTGCTCCAGTTTGTCTAGCAACATAAATTAAACCCCAAATTAGAAAATAAAGGCAACTGACGGAGGTTGAATTGTATTTTAAAAATTGTAATCTGAAGAAGTTTAAACGGTGATTGAATTGTGTTATATACACTATATCTTACTCTGTGCCATCACCTTCCACTCTTCATTGCAGGTGCTGATACAAGGGTTTACAACAGGGGAGTTGCTAAACTGCAGTAAGCCAAGGTCTCTTTCCCTGAAACAAGTTATTTTAAGATCAGTTTTTTTTTTAATTTGATATTCACAAGGAACGGCAGAAGTTACAAAACAAGCAAGGAACAATTCAAAACGTTTAACGGGATTCTCCAACCCTCCCCGAAGCCCATTGCTATCAGTCTTTCATTTATTGTGGCAGCAGTTTCGCTCCAGCTCGTCAGTGGCATCGTTAGCCTTTGTCTGCTCTGGCAGTAGAAAGTTCCAGCATCTATGAAGTACAGTATGACAACTATTGCCGTATCAGCGGCCAGCGAGGAGGAATCCAGAGCTGTGCTCTCACTTTCTCTGCCGCGGTCGAACCCGAGAGCAGTTGTTTTTATACTTTTGTACCTTTCTGTGTGTAAAAAAACGTCTACTGCCCCCGCGTGTGTGAACACGTTATGGTGTTTCCTTCTTCATCTGATTACTACATGGATGTTCTTTGTTTCCTGTTGTGCTCCCTGTCACGTATTCTGCAAGTTTTAATGTATAAAGGGTTAGGAATGCAGTCCCGACGCTGCGTACTGTAGTAGTGAGGGTGAATTCAATAAACCGCTGTACTTCATCGTGCTGCCTCAGCGTCTTCTTTTCCCACATTGCTTTTATTTTTACTGCCCTCATCATGCAGTTATGGTACAAAGAAAGACGGTGGGTTAGGAAACTGTCAGCTTCGTATTAATTTGTCAATATAAGCAAATTGCTAACTGCTAACTACTGCATACTGTTGAGTCTTAAGATGCGGAGCGGTGTTTACTGGGCAGTGGCTAGCGTGAGAGAAGAACAAGTCAGAACAACTAAGGGCTTTCATCTCTGAGCTCCAACAAGTCTGTGTTCCAGACCAGCGACCTTAAATACCAGGTGCTATAATGATATTCTTTACTTCTGCAATTCTCATTTTTTTAGCTCTCAAATTTGGCCATTTTAAAGGCGTTCCACTGATCAGAGGTGGCCGTAGCTTACAAGACTTTCAATATTTTTATAGACAGACAACAAAAACACATAAAACAACAAAAATAATTGCCACACCACACTAGGCTATTTCGGATGTAGTTTTAAGTATTTAAGTAAGCACTATGTGTTAAGCATTACACTTATTAATTTCAGCAATGTTGCAAGCCTTTGTGTCTTTTAATATTAAATTGAAGGCTATGGCATTGTTTATTGCACCACTTCTTAGCCAAACTTACGATGGACAGAAACCTTTCTGGATGCCTAAAAGCGATCTTCAGAGAAGATTCCCATTTTAAAGCCAGTCTTTCTGCCCCCGAGGTTTTGCAGAGTGTCCCTGAAGCTGGATGAGAATTTGACGGTCATCGCCTCGAAGAAGACGTTTGTTGTTTGTTTCCCGAGAAGTCCCGTTCCCCCTTTTTCTATGGGTTGCTGGAGGCCAGTCCAGAAGACATCTCCTTCTGGGCCATGAGAACGCACACCTCATAAATGCGGAAGGAGGCAAAGGCAGCTGCAACCATGCAGGAAGCCCCCAGGATGTACCACCAGTTGAACAGTCCAAAGGAAACACCCTTTATGATGCTGTAGAGACCAAAGCACACTATTGCGACGAAGGACAGGATCTGGACGCACAGAGGTGGTCCAGATGCTTTCTCACTCATGATATGATCACACCGCTTCCCGCAGAATCCAGAAAACCTTCGCGGACTGGCACTCGGGAAAGTCTGGCAATGGAAAGGTGATGCTAAGATTCCTGAAGCATGGTGAGAAAAGAGCTGTAAGACAGGGATCCCTGGAGGAACACCTTGTGCACCGATGGCAGCACTTTATATTGTGTGGGCTGTCAGAGCTGGAGATACACAAGCCAGCACTCAACTCAATTTCATCAGCTCGAACGGGATAAACCTTCGTTTTAATCTGTGTGAAAAGCTTGGAGCGTTAAGTGCATCATAGTACTCTCACAGCACATGGCTTTCTGGTTTGCTTGCATAGATGCAACTGTAGACGAAGATTAAATAACACATCTTAATTAATTCATAAAGCATGCCATGTAAGGGACACATTTACCGTGTGCAGCTGTTTGGATCCCACTGGCCACTAGCAGAAGAGTTGGTTTTGTACTGGATGTCTTTTACCAAATTATCCTTTCTGAATAAGCACAAAGTGGTGCCATCTTAGCTTTGGACTGAATGTGTAGTCCCATTCTTTTTCATTAATATAGCGTCTGCATGTGAACCTTCCAATCAGAAATGTTCTACATATATTTGAGGACAATTCAGCAGAATGCAGAGTCATAGTCACTATCTGTCATAAAGAAACATTCATATGTTGTTTTCCTATTTATAGAGAGATCATGTTAACAGATTACAGCTACTTGGAACGATGGCTTATTTGTTGTTGGCAGCACTACAACAAAGAAAAAACAATCCTTGGAATAAAACATTTGAACGGCTTCAACACTGTGTATGTGATTTATGCACGTTCTGCAAGAAGCACTGGTCCACAGTACTTGTTTAGATTTAATCACAGATTGTGCAGTTGTATTTGTGTTAGCTGTATTGGGAGCTTAATTTAAGCCTTCTTCTACAAAGCAATCACACTGAGTGCGTTAGGTGATGAGCTTCAACACAATGTTTTTTTTTTCTATTTATTCTTTGTAGATGTGTTTTATGCCTCTAATACCGAAGCCTTATTGATCCAGCTAATTCAGAATAAGCTGATTTGGTTTTCTAAGTCTTATGCCAGGGGTCTCATACCTACTTCCTGGAGGGCCAAGTGTCTTCTGGTTTCAGGTTTTTGCTCCACTCACATTCCCAGATACAGTGCAGTACATAGCTGGTCTAATGAATTAGCTGCATAATTGCAATATGTCTAACCAGGCAATCAGGATATTTCAGTGTCACTGTATCGTTAATGTTTGGTGTAATCAACCATAAATGACCTTAAGAAAACTACTGTGTATGTCTCCATTAGAAAACAATTAGGTAAATTGTTTAATTGAATACTCAAATTGGAACCAAAAGCAGAGGCAGGATCACATGTGGAACAACAGACACAAGGTGTACTCTTTTAAAAGGACTTGTTCCAACAGGGCAGGTTTATAACGCCAAAATGTGCATGATTATTACATTTGTGTCGCCAACTCAGTCTAAGTTTTGATCAAATTTTGTAATTAATCAGAGGATAATGTAGTATAGATACAGGTGGAAATGACACTGTATCAGACACACCTAATTACTTATATCCCACATGAATGTGGGGAATGTGGGGTGGTATGAAAGTGAAGAAATTAGGTAGGGCTGAAAGCAATTACTATCCCCTCCAACTGTAAGATACTGCAGCTGGAACAGCTTCACTGATTGAGAGGCCCATGTCATAAATAAAACACAAGACAGGGTTTCTGTGCAGCCAAGGCTGAGAACTATTACAATGAGGTCTGTCAAAATAGATAAAATGGAGTAGTTGTTAGCCTGGTCATCTGATTTTTAGTGATTATTATTCGTCTTGAATTGTTTATAGATTTTTTTTATAGTTAAAGCATTTTTCTTAATTTGGCATTCCTCTTGAAAACTAAAGTGTGAGGAAGCTTCAGTGGATTCTTCACAGTTATTCTGGATAATTCTGTTTATTCACAAAAGCCAGTTGAATAAGGTTATATGCACATAAAGTAAAACTGATAATTGGCAACGAAAAAAATACTTTTATAACCCTTTTCTACAATAATATTTACATTTTAAATAGCAATGTATTATAGGCAAAATCAAGAAATCAGACAATTCATGAATCTTTTGAATAAGAGTAATTAGTGACCTACAACACGGTCATAGTAAGGGGATTACCTAAAAAGGCACTGAAAGGCTAATTAGATATCTTGGTAATGATGCTTCTTGATTGAAATTAAAGGTGGTTTGGTTATGGTTTATATTCTCCTAAATATGTGCTTGTTTTGATGTTATTATATGAGTGTCTATGTTTTCATTCCTAATATTTTATAATGTTACACAAAAAATGAATATCTCTATGCAGTAAAAACATTATTATTATTATTATTGAAACCAACTTTCATCGCCAGAAAGGACCAAATAAAACCAAATGCTTTTAAATAAATCATGTTAAGCTTTATTATTTAATTGTATGATGGTTACATGGAATCATGAAAAGGTTTATTTGTATTTTCATACAATGAAATTATGAAGGAAAGAATCTCTACATCTTTGTCAAAACACTTCAGTATTTGTTTGACACAGTTCAGTATTTTTTTTTTTCATTTAAATGTACAGGATTATCCTATTTGCATAATTATTGTACAGAGGTGTGCTTTTCCATAAAAAAGCCACCAGTTTTCTTAGGAGAATGTGAAGAGCAGATATAAAGAACAACCTGACAGAGTATTGTATAAAAGCAGTAAAAATATTTTAAAAACACAGATTCATCTGACTACAAAAAGACAAGTCTGTGGAATTAAACACAACTACCTGTAACACAAACTAAAAAAATCTAACAGTCTATTAACTTTTTCTAATAAAGGCGGGTTTGCACAATGCCTTTGCACAACATCATTCATTCCCACTCTCGGAGGCTGAGATGCAGCAGCGTGCAGGACATGGCTATTAGTTACAACAAGAGTTTTCTAGTTTGCGTAACTCATTTGATGATTGTAGGCTTTCTTGCTAAAGTATGTGAATGATGAGTGGGATGATGGATGGATTTACGTGGATGTAAATAAAATTTAGACAAAACACAGCTTTAAAGAGAAATTTTGTGAACTAATGACTTCACTGAATAGCACTTTATTTAAGTTTTTCTCATCTTTCTTGCAATGATTATGCATGAATGTGAAATGCAAGTTTGTTTCGCTTGTTGATCGGCATGATTTCTCCGGTTTTACTATGGGTAAAAGAAATTAGAGGGCTACATTCCAGAATATAGTATATGAGTGAATGGGATGTGATCATTAGATTTGCACTATAGGCATAGAATTATGCTCATAGAATCTCCTCTAATAATGGCAGTGCAAGTGACAGCAGGTCAGTATACAGGCATTGTATACTAAATTTAGATGTTGAACAAATTCTAATTAACTGCTGGTGAGAAAGCAGAACAATCACCATGTACAGACATTTGAACTTTCATTCCATGACCAGTATACAACTGACAGAACCATCTTCAAACAGTAACAAAAAGCATTTAGTTTAATTTAATTCCATTTAGTTCAATCAACTTCCAAAACAAAAATGTGATATTGCGGAGTAATCGCTAACATCCATATTGCATGCTCTTGTCGTTGACCATAAATTATGAGATGGAAAAATTGTTAAGAATGCGGTCAAAATCAACAGTGTGTACTGAAAAACTTCACGACAATCCAAGACAAGGTGACAAGTCTTTATGAAGACTCACAGGCAAAAAACAGTGAAACAGAGAGAAGATGTCATAGGTGGTTTGGCCATACCATGGTTAAAGGCTCACACCAATTTGCAGATTATGTCAGTGAGTGGTGAAGCAGCTGAGTATAAAGGTTTAATATACTGTCTGAGTTAATCAAGGAGGGTGTGTATTGGCCAGCACACGTTTAATGTGGATGTACTATTAAGTAACTTATTTTGCAAAAGAATGCCTGAATATATAGTACAGACCTTGCAAAAGAAAAAAAGGCAATGCCAGGTTTTAAGGAAGGCTAAAGATCCTCTTACTCTGTTACTGTTAGTAGATAGAGAAGTTATAACTTCTGCTTGTGCGCTGTGCCAGTACGTCCTTATGCCTTTATTTGTAAGTCCTCTCTACCTGTGACATGGAAATCCAGCTCAAAGGCCTGGGTTACCATTTCCATTTTCGAGGACTGGTTCTGGCACCACCTGGTCTCTCAGTTGAAGGTGTATTGCCAAGCAAGAGGCATGCCCTTCAAAATCCTGCTTGGTGCTTGACCATGCTCCTGATCAACCCCTGAATAATTTTCACACTTACAACCAAACTGTTATAACCTATGGATAAGGGGAGAGGTAGCATTCAAAGTATAATATTTATGCAGGACATGTGCTCAAGCTATGGCTACCACACAAGGGGAGCATGGGACAACCTTGAAGGACTACAGTATGTTGCCATAAAAACCATGGCAGCAGCCTGGGAAGAGGTCAAGGTGAAGTTTTTTTAACAGTTCCAAGGGGTCTGAGGTGGCTTTGATCAACAAAGCGACCAGTGAAATCATCAGGCTGGCTTTTCACTATGAACTGAAACAGAGGTCGGAGGCATTAAAAAGGTCCTTCGACTCACACACTAAAGAACGTGTGAAGCAATACGTGACAGTGCTGGTGGTGCAGAAAGTAACAGAGGAGAGCTCTGAAGATCCAGACGTTGTCGGGGAGCTGAAATATTTTCACACCCAAGAAATTAGAAATCAACTCCTCTTTGCCATGCCTCAAGAAGATGGACCCTCATGCTTTCAGTCTCAGCTTCTACAATGTTTGAAGTTGAGGATATTGTCAACATTTCTGTAGTCCATCCTCCCCCTCTCCATCTAACAAGCCAACATCGAACCAAACTCCTTCACCCATTCTCGTGAGCAAGCCAGCTCTAGGAATTAAGGCATTTGAAGTTCAATGTTAAGCCAGTTTTTAAGATGTATTTTTAACAGAACATTGTTACATAAATTACTACATGAATAAATTAATATACTGTTTATTGTTATATATTTTTGAACATTATGTTTACTGTATGTACCAGATGTACTGTACCAGACTTTTTCTATGGTACCGTACGGTACTGTTAATGTTACACAAAGGGTGCATAGAATAGGATAAGATATGATAGAAAACTTCTACCTTCAAATTCTAGAATTCAGCGTACCTGCACACTAAATGTATATGAATGCATAAGAGTAACTTTTGACTTCAGCTTTACAGAACTGAACCCCTAAATCGGGGACTGTACATTATATTGTTTCCCTCCATTGTTATAACACTTATTTAGCCAAAAAAGATCTTCAAGTCCTCTGTCAAACTATACATCATTCATCAAAATATAGAGTATTTAATCCCTCAATTAATATCAAATCATTACAAAAATAAAATGCTACTACCTAATTTTATGCCAAACAATTTAAAATAATCTTTAAAAGGACACTGTTTTCTTGGAAATATCTTGTTTTGGAAATAATGCAATATTTTTTCCTATTGCATTCTCTGAGTAGCAGATTAAATTAAATACATTTTTTCCAAGAACATTCCATTTTTTGATTAGTAAAGCTGTAATAATGCTGCAAAAATACTTATAGAATAGAAATTATTCGTCTCTGATTTTAGTTGTATTCTAGTAACCACACATCCATCAGATTTTTTGCATTTAACTGTATAGATTCTTAACATTTTTTCAGCAATTTCGGTTTCTATAGAGTTCTAATTTGTTGCATTTTCCTGTTAATACGCAGAAAGCCTATAATGTAGTGAATGTCTGATTTTGTACAAGTTCTAAGTCTTATTGTTAAACACACCACTGTAGCAGCTTCATTCCAGTTACACTATGAGAAATGGACTTCAAAATGTCAAGTAGACTGCAGTCACACGAATGACTGAACCAAAGGCAAAATGTTGACTACAGTTAAATACATTTTGAAGCAATTTGGAAATATTTTACATTATTTGTAGGTTACTGTATGGCATTACTTTTGTTTTATTTCCAGTAGGTGGTGCTGCTTTACTAATGAATGTACATGTCTAACCTCCCTCAGTGAAATGTATTCAAAGAACAGTCTCCAAGGAAAAAGGTTTGGTCAGTAGATTACAGACTGCTCTCATCTCAGGCTTACAAGTCCTACAATTAGGAACTGGGCAAGCTTCCTTTGGCTCTAATGTCATCAGGCCTTACATTAACGCTGCTGCTGGTGTTTTTGTATAGTCTCCACTGCCATCTGCACAAACAGAAAGATGGAGGCTGCAATTCAGACTTTTGTGTCCATTTTGCAAGACGATGGTGTCTTGTAGGTGCATAGTTCATTCAGCAGTGTGTCCTCAGTGACACATTCTTGATGTCATTTCCTTCTGCAAAGCAAACGAGAAAAAACAGAATTAATTGATACGTAATGTTAAACATAAAATAAAATGTTCCAGGGTCAGTATAGGCAGTGACCAGGATTTCTTTATCAGACAAAGCTAAGCTAAAATAATGATATGATGTATTATTTTAAAATACACCATTAGCCACTTGTCATATTAATATCCAGAGATGGATGGGATATCCTGTTCCTGGCTGCCAGCTGGTGATTCTATGTAGCTGGGCAACTGTATGGTCATTGTAGATTTACAAAACCCACCAGATGTCCCACTGTTTCTTGTGTTTCTACTTCTGTCATACAGCTCTCTCCCTACACACATTTCCCCCTTTTTGCATCTGGGTCAGTGTCAGATTAGGGGTTGAGTACAGTATTAAAAACGCTAACTCTTTGATTATTTCAAGAAATCATTTGTCAACGTGATTTACAACAATTCTACATTTTCTTTCCTGATTTACAAAATGAATATCACAATTTTGTTTGTTTTAGACACCATAGATGCATATTAGGACTTTTGACAGAAATGTTAGACTTGAGACAAGGAAGTTCATTTGAGTTTTATTCTTTTGAAAAAATGACACCAGCAGAAGTTAAAATATTTCATGAGGGATTCTTAAATGACATTTTCTTAAAACAGGGGCTTAGAGTTACACAGAGTTCTTTGCTAATCAAGGTCACTCATTCTTCACAAGCATTTGTAAGAAATTATTTTAATTCACACTCCGGAGGAACTCCTAAACAAAAGAAAAATAGAAGTTTTACAGAATTTCTTTTCAGCATAGCAGAAAGAGAGAGACTGCAGTAAACAGAGTTCTGACCTTTTAAAACATTAATAAAAGACCAAAAAGTGGCACAAGTGAAAGCCATCTGTCCAGCTAGCAACCTTCTGTCCCTGCTGTGTGTTGCTGACCAGAATCAGGTTGGTTTAATAACCCATCTGGAGTCCCAGTCCCGGAGTGTGCTCCTCTACAGATTTAGTCATGCCACCCATTCCTTGACAGAAGGACATTTCTTTACTTCCTCTAAGTGATCCTCCACAGCATTCTGATGACGGAAACCCCAAGTTCACAACCGTCTTGAGACTTGGGTTTAGCAGCTATTGATGCTGAAGAAATAAAATATCTGTTGTTTCCCTGTTTTCTTTCATTGCACACATTTACAGTATCTTCTGTTCATGTCATAACAAAAGATGTTTTCACTGTATTTATTGTAAAATCAGAAAATTGTGTTCCAATAGCAAACAATAAATATTTCCTAACTGTAATAATTAAGCAAGCTATGGTTCTAAATTAGGTCAGTAATATAAAAGAGAGCCCCTTTATCTCTTTCCAAAATTTATTTTGCGAACCTTTTAAAGATTTTGTATTGGAATAAAGGAACAAGTAATAGGTTTATTCCATGCTGAAAAAAAGAAGAAAGAGAACACAACGTTTCGGCCGTGGAGCCTTCTTCAGGCCCACGGCCGAAACGTTGTGTTCTCTTTCTTCTTTTTTTCAGCATGGAATAAACCTATTACTTGTTCCTTTGCAGCCTACGCATGCTGACGCAGCTACCCACCTGATGTATTGGAATAGCCTATTTCCACTTGAAATAAAGTAGACCACAATACACAAGCGATGTCTGCAGTTATTTATGTTTGATATGTCTGGTAAATGTACAAGGCTGATTGATTAATTATAGGCTTACTTAGTAAAGCTGGGAGTCTAAATTGCAGTTTCACCATGAAAAGTGAAAAGTCTAGGCTGAATGAATGATAAAATGCACAGGACAGATGTATCCCAAAAATATACAAATTGAAGGTCTGAAAGCTGTTGCCCATATAGTTAAATAAATCATCTGGGAAAATAAGGAGAAAGAATGTACATGACTGAGATGATAAAAATAACAGGATCCAGATAAGAAAAGAAATATGATTTGCTAGCTCAGGTAGAAAGAAGGACTAGAAAAAGGAATACTGCAATAGAGGCTAAAATGAATAATAAATGGTTATTTCAGTACTACAACTGCAAAATAACAGTAAAGGAAGCAGTAAGATCTGGGATGACAATAGGAAGTGCACTGATGATGCAAGGTAAATGGCTGACGTATTAGATGAGTATTTCACTCAGCGGTTCACTAAGAAGTCAACAATATGCCCCGGGCTGTGGAAAGACTGTATTAAACAATATCAGCATAGAAAACTAGAAGAGTTCAAGCTACTAGAAATACTTCAGATTAACAAACATTCAGGGCCTAATGGTACTCTATCAATTGTACTTTACTGGACTTTAAGAACCATATGGTGCTATACGTAGGCCATTAACACAACTTTTCCAACTGTCAATCAAGACAGGCTGTAGTAGGACCCATTAACTGAAACATACAAATGTAGTGACCTTTAAAGAAAAGAAAAAAAAAACAACTAAATCAAATAAATACAGACCAATCCATCTGACTTCTGCTAGATGTTAAAATTCTAGAAACAATAATTAGAACAAGCAGTAACAATAACAGACACATACAAAGCATAATATATGGTAAATGTTTGGAAGGATTTTGATAATTCCTGATAAAATAATAATTCCTAAATTATAGCCATTAGGCATTCTGTGAAATGCGTGAGTGTCAAATATTCATACAGCAGTCCTAACAGTAACTGATAAAGGCAATCCTAAGGATTCTTTCAGAATCAATCATGAAACATGAACCAGAAGGAACCACTGCAAACAACACAGAAATGCATTTAAAACTGAAAACAGGAGCCATTTCGTTACACAAAGGGTTGTAGGAGTATGGAACAAGCTACCGGCCATGCTGTTGAAGCCGATACCCTGGCTTCCCCAAAGAAATGGCTGGATGGGATTCTTGGATTAGCTAGTAATTACTGTAAGTAATTAACTACCAACCATGGTACATGTAGGCAGGCTGAATGACCTACTTTCGTTGGCCGCTGGTCATACAGTATGTTCATAATGTTCTGATGTTCCACCTTAAGCTGGAAGTCAATGTACCTTTTAGAAATGCCAGAGGACACCATTTGCAAAAATTAAGCAAGTCAAGCTTAACGGATTTTAACATAGTGTTATCAACAGTCTGCTAATGAGGTGAAATGCAGCTCACTGAAACTACTCTGTGTAAGTCAGGAATTATGATAAATTTGTGAACTGACCATTTTACAGGCAGGTAATGTGTACTTGGTATAGTGGGTAGGACACTGGCAGGCTGTGGGTTCCAAACACAGCTAGGACACTACTATTGTCCTTTTAGCAACGTACTGCACTGCGTTAGCAAAATGTGTATAAAAGTAGCTTTGTATAAAAACATTAGCCAAACACGTTAAAATAGATTTTTAAAATTGATGAAAGAGCATTTGAGGCTAAATGGAATCTGGGATACCATCCGACTCTTATTTATATTCACACACAAGCACTTAGCTGTTTGTTTAATTAGCGCTCAGCCCAGTTTTGCAATTACAAGCAAGGAGGCTGTTCTTCATGGCTGCCTTATTATCAATGGGCAATTCCAGTTGTCAACACTGATTATACAGAAATGAAGTCTGTTCATCCAGAACATTTACACTAATTCTACAAACAAAATCTGTGGTCATGCCAAATCAAATGAAGTGTCCAATAACTTCATGATCTCGGGCCCACATGCCTTTTCATTTTCCTTTTCTGTTATGCAGTTACATTTGGAAAGGTCCATAGTACTAAAGTAAATGCTTTAGATGGTATGTACATATATATTGTAGAACGTACTGTATAGTAAACCATTTTACAATATTTGAATGTCATTAATCAATTTTAACAGGAAGAAGGATGATCAAAGGCTCTCTGCAGTTTTGTTCTTCACTGCTACATCAATTTGTTCTTCTAAATATATGGATCATTAAAGCTTTCTGATGTAGCTTCTGTTACTACATTACATTAAGTAACCAGCTAATTTTATTAGCTTGGCTATTAGCAGCTAATGGATCTCATCAAACAACGTCTGGGTAGCTTGTTCCAAATAACCATCACCTTTTGTGTAAAAGGGAAGGTCCAATTCTGAGTCTCTTTATCTCCTTGTGTTCCTTATCACCTTTTGTGAACTTTGAATGCTTGTCTCTTACCCCAACTGAAGTTTGAATGAAAATAAAAAATGCCATCATATCTTAGAAATGATTACACTTCTATGGACACACAGTTTAAGCAACATCAACACTATTTATTCACTCTTACAGGGCTGGAAAAGCAATAAAAGAAGTGCTTTCTTCAGCATGGTTAGAAGACACTGTACTGTAAAAAAGGTGCCGTCCTTCGGATGACACGTAAAACCGAGGGCCTATCTCTCTGTTGTTCATTAAAAATACCAGGGTGTAACCCCAGTGTCCTGGCCAAATTTCCCATTGGCCCTTACCAATCATGGCCTCCTAATAATCCCCATCTGTGAATTGGCTTCATCTCTATGTTCTCCTCCCCACTGATAGCTGATGTGTGGTGAGTGTACTGGTGCACTATGGCTGCTGTCACATCATCCAGGTGGGGCTGCAGATTGGTGGTGGTGGAGGGGATCCCCATTACCTGTAAAGCACTTTGAGTGGAGTGTCCAGAAAAGTGCTATATAAGTGTAAGCAATTATTATTGTTATTATATATTCCTTGTGCTGTGCAGATGAACGATTGGACCCACACTAAAACACATATTTAAATGGTCAAACTTTCAAATGTTGTTGAATCTGGAATGCAAGGGGTTTAATACTGAACAAGAATTATTAAGGTACACCTCATGTGTATTCATACACTGTATAGATTTTGGTGTCGTCCTGTACAGAGTAAGTACTGAATTCACCCAAAGAGCAAAACAAAAGGAAAAAAACTCATTTTGTCACTTAGTATAATTCTGCCCAGTTTGTAACCTATTAACATGACCTCATGTTTCTGTTATGAGAACTGTTTAACTTATTACTGCCTGATCACATTTTATAATACAGTTTTACCTCCAGCTTATACTGCAATGCCCAATGTCATCCCTCCTTTACTGTAATCAATGACTATTTTCTAACTACACATTGTTTACTGCTCTTTATTGTAGTAATTTATTACTGTGTATTTTGGCTAATACTTTGGATAAGGGCAACTGCTAAGCAATTACCATTATTAATGATCTAATAATTATAATTATTCTCAGCCACTTTCAAAGCTTATTTAAATTCTACTTTCCAAATACTGTACATGAACGCTATTTTTAAAGGCTATCAAATTTAGGAATTTATTGTATTTCTTTGCCCTGGAGATCAGGCTCATGAAGTTATGGCTTTGCTTCTAACAGAAGCTTTCTTTTTTCATTGTCACAGTATGTTCTCCTATAAAGCATGTGCATTTCAAATGATTTTTATTGACTGTAAAGCGGCTGCCAAGACACAATAAGTGTCTTGTCACGCAATACCTTTTATACTCCAAGTAATTAAAACAAGAAATGCAGCTAATATCAAAGAACAGACTACCAAACAAAAAGACCTTGAATAAAATCTGTTATTACCTTGCCTGTTTTCCTGTTTTGCATTGCAAAGAAACTGGTTTCCACTGTTCATTCTATCTGTGTTTGGTTTCAAAGGTGATTTAGTGAACAGTAATAAAAACACCATATGCACATTTCACAAAGGTTTTAGCATAGATTTGTTTAGTGCACAGAGACATAATTGTTCAGTCACTTTAATTTCAAATCAAATATAAAAATGAACATAAAGCTACAAAACAGGCCATTTGGATCGACCCATCTGGATCTTTTGAGTCCTGGTTACCAATTCATCAGCGAATCACAGCCAGTCATTTCTGGGATCGGCTTTCTCAACTTGGCTGGGGTAGCTTGTGCCATACTCTCATCACCCTTTACCTTCTTAAAATAAAATATTCTGGCTTCTATTTAGGTTCTCGTTTACTCAATATACAAAATCCAGCATCAATAACAGTTTGAATTGAATAACTGAGTAACTGAGTTCTGGAAGTTTGGAATCTGATTAAAAAAACATATGGCTGATTTGATCAAACATGGGTCTTTTTGCTCCATTTCTAGAAGCTGATTTAAGCTTGCGTATCAGTTTACGAATACTGTCGCCCGGCCATCATCAGAAGGGCGTTTAATCCCAGTAAGGCCTGCAGCAACTGGACAGAACCCAGGGAATTACACCTGTGTAGCGCAAAACACCCGTTAACTTAGCCAGAATGTATTTGTAAGGCACTGGGAGTCCAATTTCTTACCCAGAGAAAACTATGCGGACATTTGTGGGAATTTTCATACTCCACACAGAACATGCCCCAGGCTAGGATCAAATACTGGACCCAAAAGTTGAGAGGCAGCAGTGCCAGCAGCAACGTAACCATATTTCCCAATTGCGTTTCCTTCTACAAAAATGTTTATTCTACATTTCCGGATGTAGATGATAAAGAGAAACGAAGCAGTGGGTATCATGTTATTATTTGCTCTGTAGATTCTTGAGGCTCATTTTGGATTGCACAAGTCGGTCTGCGATTGATTTTCACATACTGAAAACAAATAACTTACACACAGCAGAGAAAATCAGGCACAAATGACAAATCTCAACCTGTTTCACAGCACGTCAGCTAATAATCCAAGTTGTTTCCAAGCAACAGCTCATAACTGAGTAACAACGTTTATTTAACTGCACTTAATACTGTGAAGTACAGAACAATTTAGATGATTTTGCTCTTGAAGTTTTTTTATTATCAACCATACTGGGCCAAAATCTATGCTTTCTGAATGTGACCCTAATTTGTTTTCTCTGTACTATTTCTCCCTCGTATTTAACAACATTAGAAAGATAGGTTGCAAACAACATGAGGCCTCTTGGCTCATCTAGCAGATTATATCTGCTGCTTTTCATAAATTTTCATCCTGCTGTGAATTCTGTTTGGTTTCCTATTCACAAGACAGCCTCAAAGGAAATTCCTTCTCCAGGAAAAAATATTGAACTGTATGTAACATTATTACTAGTTTCCTACGTTTGTGCATTTTGCAAAAATGACCAGGAAAATAAAAGCAGGAAAGGCACAAAGTTTCTGCCTACTAAAATGACCAAGAACACAAGTACATTAACTACTGCACACTGTACCTGAAGTCTAGTCATAGTGTTACATGAGCTCATTACCTGATTAGGTATTTAATGCATTTTAATGGGATCAGAACACATGCTATAGAACCGCTGTCTGAGTTTTTCAAGGCTGTTTAAAGATAAAGGAGTAGATTACATCATCAACTGTATATCTTTATGTAATGCCATTGTGTAATTTACTCATTCATTTTATGTGCAGCACACTGTTTAGAGTTTTCTTTGATACACTTGCTCCCTGTTAATTATTAAAGCTGTTTGAGCAGACAGGGTGATAAATTGGTACCACACCCAGGCCTGAAACATAATGTAAAAACATCATTAATTTAATGTACAGAACTGATAAAAATGTAATCTGACCCAAAAAGTCAACAACAGCCCATCATAAATATACTGCACAGGGGAAAGGTGAAAATACAAATGAATAACGATATGAATAGCACTCCTAACCAAAATGAGCAAAATCCATCCTCTCTTATGCCAAAATGTGGCCTATCCAGACTTGATTCCCATGATATTTTTAAATAAATTAATAACAACGCAACATAAATATGGCATTCCCCATTCATCCTTAATTTTAATCTAGAAAACACATGGTTCTTTCTCCTAAGCATTTCTCCAAACAGAATGAACAGCAGCTGAATGCACGAGTTCAGAATAATTCATCAATTGATTCATGTAATGTTGCTACTAATACTTTGCTGACGAGGGCTCTGGTATTTTCCCAGCAGGATCATGGGAATTCCTTATGATACCGCAGATAAAGCAGCAATTGTTTCCCTCAGAGTTTTTCTGATTTTGTTTTTCCACAGCCAATGGTGCCTGTAATATCTGTTACAGATTTCATTAACATGATGAACGTGGGACTGAAGGATTTGTGTAAGGGCTCCTGGGCTTCCTCTGCAAGGCAGGTTTTTAATCCCGAGAACATCACTTACATTGAACCACACCAGTAGTGACACAGAAGAAATCTGCATGCTCAAATAGCTGGCACAATGTAACTTTGCAAAACAGTCGTGTCATCTCAAAATGAGTCAATTGTTGTTGTTTTGGGGAAAAAGTCAAAATGTGGAGAATGAATTGATGAAGACTGTTTATGTTTTAAGAGGCTTTGTCTCTGTCTCTTGATAAAATGCTTTAAATTGTGTGGCAATGATATCCAAATATATCTCTAGCTTCTTATATACAGTATATATATATAAATAATTCAATACAATCTGTTATCCAATGGCAGCTACAGAATGGTATTTTGATGGAGGCAATTGGGAAGTGTTACACTGAAGCCATTAAACTAGTGATTTAAGTTAGGCAGATTGGAACAATCATTACCAATGACAACAGGATTGAGTTAAAGACCAGTGAATAAAACAGCTGTTGGGATTTGACTTCTATGAGTCTATCAAGTCTCTGAATAAGTAAAGCAACTTTATCTTGAGCTTGTAACATACTTTCAGACATGATATACAGCCCCACATACTGTATAAGGAACATGCCAGGAAGCAAAACTGAGCCCTCTCATATGTTAGGACATCATGAGATATAAGAGGAAATACTGCAGAAAAAATAATTTTCTCTTCTGCAACAATGTATAATGACATGCCTAAACAGCTCCATGCTTACAAAAATAGATGCTGTGGCCTTATTTAATTGCAGATTCGAATTTAAGGCCGTGGGTGGGCCGGTGTTATCACACACCTGTCTTCACGTGATCAATCGTATACAGTAAATGTCTCAGTGAAAAAACAGCAACGATAACGGTCTTTCATTAGTATGGTTTTCTCTGTTTTTAGGTAAACAGACAAAGTACATATTAAGGATGGAAATGAGAGAATCATTTTTTACAATGGCAGCATGACAGACTTAGATGACTAACAGGTAAATGACTCCGGGATAAGGAACGCGACTGGTCCGCTCCTCCGCGCACACTCACCAAGGGCTCCAGCTCCTTGCGGTCTATGAGGTGAAGCTCAGTCACAAAGTAGTAAAAGTGCTTGTAGCAGGTGTTGACGTGGGCCTCCGCGCCCATGACGATGATCCGGTCGAAGTGGTGGATGTAGACGTGCACGAACACCCTGAAGAGCCGGCACAGGATCTTCTTGCAGATCTGGATGAAGTTCTTGGGAAAAGGGATGCCTGGGAAGACAAGCAAACACCAGCTGTCAAACAACACAGACAACATGGCCTCACCCAGCCCCCTGCCACGTGGATCTCCCGGCTGTGCTCCAGTTAGAAAACCACCGATCCGCTTGAGCACGGCTGATAAACACACTCGCAACGATATGTTTATGTCCTTACATGCTCGATAACTGGTGCTGATCAACGGTGCAACTTCATGATGTGCTGAGTAATTTGAGATGTTTGATATGACAGAAAAACAACTCAAGCTGTCAAAGATCAGAGCAGGGCTGCTCATGGTTCTTCTCTCAAAGGCCCCTGGTAAATAGTTCTTGCAAAGAACAGTTAGACAGTTATTGCAAAAGATTAAACTCTCTGTTGATTTAGAGTCGTGCACAAATTATTAAAAAGACTGCTTGGATGATATGCAACATTCTACTTCCTGTTATTTCTCAAGTTGATAAAAATCAAACGTCAGATACATGTTGCTGTTACTAGGGCTGAGAGTACACAATGAACAAGTTTTCCTTGCCTGTACTACCCGAGAGCTATTTTTTTTAACAGGATGAAATTCTCTAAGCCCTTTTAAAAAGATTAAATTATTAAATTATTAATAAAACAATTTTCTTTAAGTAAATCTTGTTTAAGACAGTTACTATATCAATGTACCCACTTATGTTAGCACCGAGCTTGGAAAATGCGCTGAGCTATGCAGATCGTAATAGTAACATGAGTGATCTTTTACAATTAAGTTTCATTTTTAAATCCTGTAGATGTTAGCTGTTTCGGTAACAAACTCCAAACTGCATGTCTCAGTCTCAAGGTTATGTCTCAGTGAATGAACTCAATGGAGTCAATCAGGGAGCATTTCAATGTCACTATCCAACATTCAGCTGTCTGTAAAAACACTTATTAAACAAAAACATTAAGGGAGAAACCTGGTACTTTCATTGTCTGAGAAGGAATGCATCAAAATGCTCATCAGAATTGCATAACAACATATTAGGAAACCTATGGAAATATGGGAGCACTGTCAGCCCGTTTTGTAATATTTTAAATCATATAATCTTTTCAGTTCATGAATAAAGTGCTTCAGAACTAACAGCAAAGTCATAGCTTCTACAGAACCAATAAACCTTTGAAAAGATGAAAATAATTTGATGAAATGACTGTTATTGTCTTTGAGTGGCTGTGTGGTCTCCAGTAGGTGGGGCGTGGTGTTGAACTAAAAAGGATTGTTTCCTTACAAAAGCACTTTGTTACTGAAATGGACTATGAAAATGCAGACTCTATGCCAGATAAAATGTAGGAAATGTCCATCTTGACATTTAAGTAAATCTCACATTATACAAATGTTGTTAAATCAAAGCAAAAAACATTCAAAAAATCAAAATAATTTTTAATTTATTTTTACAAGTATGTCTATGCTAGTTTATCAGTGTTATTATTGTCATCAATTAATTCAAATTGTTCATGGTACTATGTGCATGGAATATGGTATTTGTCCTATATTACAGCATTACTTAAAAGGTTTGATTAGATCATGGAGTCTACCGTCCCTTTTTAGCTAAAGAATGCAACATATTTTGTGTTAGATATGTAAGAGTTAACTGTTCTTTTTTTCCTTTAGAGTGTATATTTTAATGAGAAACATTACTGTTAGCAAGGCAGTAGAGGCAATTCATTTGTGTACATTCTCCAGCGGCCACCAGGGGGCCAGTAGGCACTGGACTACTTGACGATGAAGCAGCCTCCCTTCAGAGTAACCCAGCAACAGGGACCATTAACAACTACTAGGTTGCAAGGCAATAAAAAGAAAGGGACACCCTACCCTGCTGGTTAAGCTTGGTGGATGAAGTTCCTGTCTTGGACACCAGAAATGCTGACAGCTTGAAGACTGTCCCTTAATCCCAAAGGAAAAGCAGACCACAGTGTGCTGTGTGGCAGTCTTTTCATGCCCTGAGAGTTTCCTGGCCTGCTGACACACTGCTATTTCCATTTAGTTCATAGAGCAGAAACTGTGCCTGGTATCTCTAAAATCCCCATCAGTAACTAATCTGTTGGACTACTTAAACCTGACAATCTGAGTATTTCATGTATGCTGAAGATGCTCATGGTTTGCATTAACTTTCCCAAGAAGTACATTCTTAAGGCTTTAGTAAAACACCACATGAGTCAAAGAACATTTTGTAACAGAAACTCTTTTGTAGCAATCATTATTGAACTGACAAGAATAATAAGAGTGATCACAAATTCTTTCTTGCATCATTCTTCACTAAAAAGATGTGCATTATTTTAGCATTTCTAAGCATAGACAAATCTGAACCTATACAGTACGTCTGGTAAATTACTTTTTTCATTTTGATACTTTTAAATTTAATATGCATGTATAATTATTATTATTATTACCTGTTTACAATATGATCTTGGTATAACAATACAGTTCTGCCATACAAAGTGTTTTGCATGAAGCAAAAATGATTAAATATTCCAATATAATTGTCAAGATCCAGAATAACTGTATCTTCTGGATTTGGTTACAAATGAGTCCTTAATTGCAGTCTAACTGATTTCGGTTTTCTTTCTGATGAGTATATTTAAATTTGCTCTCAGCTCTGTTTGAATAGGATCCGCAATTGGTATCAATCCTGTACTAATTTCTGTGTTTCAGAAATCCTCTCATTCCAGTGCGTTAGTTGAAATGTAACTGGACATCTGCAAAAGGAAACATAATGGAAAATAATTATCATTGTGGGAGTTTATGGTACATCGTCTTTCTGTGTCATTTCGTCTCGCATTGATTATATAGTGAGTGCTGCTTAGAAGAAAAAATAATAATTGCTTACACTTATATATAGTGCTTTTCTGGACCCTCCACTCAAAGCGCTTTACAGGTAATGGGGACTCCCCTCCACCACCACCAATGTGCAGCCCCACCTGGATGATGCGACAGCAGGCATAGTGTGCCAGTACGCTCACCACACACCAGCTATCAGTGGGGAGGAGAACAGAGTAATGAAGCCAATTCAAGATGGGGATTATTAGGAGGCCATGATCGGTAAGGGCCAATGGGAAATTAGGCCAGGACGCCAGGGTTACACCCCTACTCTTTTCGAGAAACGCCCTGGGATTTTTAATGACCACAGAGAGTCAGGACCTCGGTTTTACGTCGCATCCGAAGGACGGCGCCTGTTTACAGTATAGTGTTCCCGTCACTATACTGGGGCATTAGGACCCACATGGACTGCAGGGTGAGCGCCCCCTGCCGGCCCCACTAACACCTCTTCCAGCAGCAACCTGGGGCAGCTATCTCTTCAACTGAGACAGCAATGCGTGTTCTGCATGCTGACATTGTTGGCAACAATATTCCTGAAGTTAAGTGTTTCTGAAAACAGGAAAAGGTCAGCAAAAGTCTAAACAAGCAAGTACTGGTGATCACGAGAACAACCAGGACACAACAGGTGCCCTTTATTTAATGGGTTGGGAGCTACTGCATATATAACATTTATTAATATAGGATGGCAGAAAGTAAAAAATTTGAGGAACTACCAAATTAGTTTATCTAAAACTGAAGCTATTTCAAAAATATTGAAAGTGAAGGCCGTTTTCATTAGGAGTTGAAATGCAGTCGATAATTCATCTACATGTGTTTGTGTCCCGGTAACAGAAAGCGATAACTCTGAGTAACAGGTTACATTTTCACTATTCTGTTGCGTTGTCTTTCAGTGTGTGTAGTTAAGGTGGCTGTGGGCATTTTGCAATCTTAAACCTAAAAAGCAATACCAATGGAAAAATTGGATGTTGTCGAACAGTTTGAACCTGACTACATTTAAATGCGTTGTTCAGAGTTTTGTCAGGGGACCACACAAGAACAAATATGCCACATTCATTAAAATGTATACCTACTGTTCAAAGATACAGCATTAAATTGATAAATCATAACCACAATAATCCGTGGAAAAGTACCAACAGTTACTAACATTACCTGTTAAATACAAAAATCCTAATGAAGAGCCAAATGTAGGAACCATGAATAAAAGAAAACTTCTCATCAATCCATTTACCTACATATTTAAAAAATTCTCTTAGTGCAATGTAACAATGCTCCAAGGTCTCCCAGTCTTTCTACAGTACGAGCATTTCAGAAATATAACAAACCACCTTACAGCAGGCTCTGAACGCTCTGCCCTTCTGTCCTGCCTGTATTGTGACCTGCTGTATACAAAATGATACCATCAACATGCAAATATGTGCAAAGATTACCCAGAACAGATTCTGTCTCACTTATGTAAGGGAAGGAATGTAGTATATTAACATGTTAATCCCACGGGATTTCCAAACGGGGGAAAAAGCTATGGGTTAAGAGCTTTATTTGTTTCAGTTCTTTTAGGATGTGGAAGTCGTTTCATTGGCGTTGTATCAATTTACAGTATGTCATTCCACTCAGCCTTGAAAGATGCTGTCTTTGATTTTTTGCAGGGCTCAGGACTTCAAGTATGGAGCCTGGTGATTTTGCACTAGGAGTTCCCCTCTGTGTGAATTCCAGGTTTTTAGAGGGGTCAAAGGTTGTGTCCCAGTGTGCCATAGAATATTCTCAATCAGAGGCCATTATTGCTGCAGATTCCATGAAATTACAAAACAAATAGACATAACGGATTCCTTTGCAAATAAGTATGATGGGAAATTCATAACTGAAACAGCAGATCCTGAGTTCTAGTCCCAAGTCTAGCTTCACAAGTATAACAACAAAAGTTACAAATGAAAAGAAGCTGGTCGTCCCACCCAGCCTGTTTACGAGTCAGTTAAAAGTAGTTCTGTTAAAAGGTTAAAGTGTGAACAGGATCACCCACCAGTCTTCAAAAATAGACCTGACTTCTTCTGACAAGTAAACAACCATGGAGGACTCGTGTGGTCAAAGAGCTGACGCACATACAGTCAACTCAAGAATAAATCGGCACCGTTCGTGAAATTGAGCAAAAATGAATGTATAAAATAATCAACACATATAGGGACTCATA